TGTGTGCCTGTAGACTAAGTGTTAATCCAAGCTAGACAAGGGCAATAAAACATCCACGGATGCAGAAGATTTCTCTCAAAACAGGGGGGGTGAGGTTCTAAGCCTCACCTCTGTTGATCCCCAATTTCTCACCTGATGGCCCCCCTGTGACTGTGCCTGTCTTAGGTTGTTCCTCCCTTGAGGAATCTTACCTGTCTCTGGCTAACCAGTCATCTTCTGGGGCCATACAGGGAAATGTAAAGTTGGTAGGTGAGAGAGAAGCCTTATTGTTTGAAAAGGTTAGCTTTTTACTTCTTTGCATATTTATGCCTGTGGCTTCTATGCCCAGCATTTGTCTTGAGGTATCTTTACCACTTGGAAGAATTATGATACTCGGTAAATTCGATACGAGGCACGAATTCTATGTAAGGGTTGTAATTAGGAAGGAAGAAGAAAAGCTATAGAAGTAACAGGTGGAAGAAAACATGGGAAGATTGATTATTTCTTTGACATATCTTCTTGTAGAGTAACTTCAGCATGTATAGGTTTTAAACTACTAATTAAATTGCACACACACATTAACATAATGCTGTTTTTACTACGGTAAAACTTAGGTGGTTACGTTTTCCCATAGAATATGCCCTATCTCCTATTTTAAAATATCAGGATATTTTAAAATCCCCTTTAAATCAGACCTCAAAGGCCACTATCTACATAGTTAATTGTCTTTTTCTCCAGGCTGTGGGTTTTTATGGACGCACAGAGCTCAACCATATAGGAGTAATCTTGACATGAAACATTTGCAAAATAGGAAATCAAAGGATCTTGGAACTAGGAACTGTTGCTTTTCCCTCAACATTTTATTTTGAAAACTTGTTCAATTTAGAGAAAAGTTAAAAGACTATTATACCTGGAGTCACCAGTTGTTCGCATCTTGCACCACTTGCTTTAGCTCATGTGTGTGTGCATACAGTGTGTATGTTAGTTGTTTATAAAGTAAGGTACAGACAGATATGTATGTGTAAAGTTTTTCTTTTAAACTTCTTATTTTCTTATTAAACTTATTAAACTTCTTATAAACTCTAGATTCACATAGAGTTTTAAGAGAGGTCCCATATAGCCTTTACATGGTTTCCGCCAGTGGTACCGTCTTGCAAAACGATAAAACAATACCACACCAGGCTGCTGGTGTTGATGCAGCCAAGAGAGAACCTCCCTGCTGCCGCAATGACCCCTCACCTTGGCCTTTTATAGCCGTATCTACTTCCCACCTGCCCCTTAATCTTTGACAACCACTAATGTGTTCTCCATTTCTATAATTTTCTCATTTAAAGTATGATATATGAATAGAAGCTTATAGTATGTACCCTTTTGTGATTGACATTTTTTTTACTCAGCATAATTCTCTGGAGATTTATCCAGGTTATTGCATATATTAATGTTTTTTTTTCCTTTTGCTGAATAGTATGTCATGGTGTGGATTACCCAGTTTAATTATTCGCTCATTGAAGGACATTTGAGTTGTTTCCAGTTTTTGGCTATAGTAAATAAGGCTGCTATAAACATTCATATACAGATTTTTGTGTGTGAACATAAGTCCTCATTTCTTTGAGATAAATGCCTGGGAATATAATTGCTAGATCTTATGACAATTATATGCTTAATTTTAATGAGACAGAAAAACTGTTTTCTGGAGTGGCATACTATTTTACCTTCCCACCAGCGTTGTGTGAATGATCCAGGTTCTTTTCATTCTTTCCAGCATTTGGTGTTAACCACTATTTTTTGTTTTAGCAATTCTGATAGGTGTGTAGTGATACATCATTGTGGTTTTAATTTGCATGTCCCTAATAGCTAACAATTGAACATTGTTCAATGTGCTTATTTGTTATCCATATATCCTCTTGGGTGAGGTATCTGTTCATGTTTTTTGTCTACTTCCTAGTTGGATTGTTGGTTTTTGACTTTTGAGTTAGAGGGTTCTTTATATTTTCTAGATATTAGTCTTTGTCAGATTTGTAGTTTGTAAATATCTTCTCCCAGTCTGTAGCTTGTTTTTTCATCCATTCAACTGGGTCTTTTGTAGAGCTAAAAAGTTTTTAATTTTGATGAAGTTCCTTTTATCAGATTTTCCTTTTATGGATCACGCTTATGATGTCAAGTCTAAGAACTTTTTGCCTACCCCTAGATCCTGAAGATTTTCTCCTGTGTTTTCTCTAAAAGTTTTCTAGTTTTATATTTTACATTTAAATTCATGATCCATTTGAACTAAGTTTTATATAAGATTGTATGAGATGTGAGACTTAGATTAAATTGAGGTTCCTTTTTTTTTTTGGCTAGCGTGTGGATGACCAGTTGCTCCAGTACCATTTGTTAGAAAGGCTGTTGTGTTCTTCACTGAATTCCTTTTGCATCTTTGTCAAAATTCAGCTGGCGTATTTGTATGGGTCTTATTTCTGGGTTCTATATTCTACTCCACTGATCTGTGTGTCTGTCCCTCTGCTAGTACCACATAGTTTTGATTGCTGCTGTATAATATGCATTAAATTTTATCTTAGAAATAGTTATAGGGCTATTCAAATGATCTATTTCATATTGGGTGATTTGTGGTAGTTTGTATTCATGAGGAAGTAGACCATTTCATCTTACTAAATTGACGTGTGTAGAGTTGGTTGTAGTAGTCCCTTACTATCTTTTCATTGTCTGTAGGATTTGTAGTGATGTTCTCTGTTTCATCTTCATATTGGTGATACATGTTTCTCTTTCTTTGTCAGTCTTACTTGTTAATTTCATTGATCTTTTAAAAGGACATGTTCTTCATTCTATTGTTTTTTTTTCTACTGTCCATTTTATTGATTTCTGCTCTTACCTTTATTGCTTCCTTCCTCACGCTTGCTTGGGTTTTTTTTTGGCTCTCCTTTTTGTTGCAGGCCCTCAAAAAATATCTGTTGAATGAATTCTCCCTCAAATGTTCATTCAGATCCTTTACCTAGCTTAGTTCCTTGCACTGAGTTATTCACATTCAGGTTATATACAGCCCATTTTGCTAAATGACTTATTTGAGTTTTTTGTACTTTCTGGTGTGAGAATGAGAGCTGCAGTCCCCTCAGACCTTGAGAATGCTTCTTAGTTGCCTGTCACTGTGAGGAATTTGTCCAGCCTGTTTGCAGGGAGTCATCTGATCATATGTCCATTTAAAATATTCTACAAAATGCTTTTTGTTTTGAAAAATGAAAAACATAAAAGGAAAAATCTTTCAAGCAGTAGAGCTTTCATCATTGAATGTCTTAAAGATACTACATTTTCTTCAGATGAAAAATCCCTTTATTCTACTCTCATGTTTTACTCTGTAGTGTAGCCTATTACAATTTGATAGTAGAAGCATCTATTTCTTTTCTTGTAACCTTAATCATCTTTTATTTTATATTTTGAACAGTGTTATTTACTTGTCTACTACACTGGCTGGCGGAACTTGAAATCTTTTTTGACTTTTGGCCTAATCTGTCTATGCAACATGTATCTTTATGAACTGCGCAACCTCTGGCAGCTTTTCTTTCACGTGACTGTGGGAGCTTTTGTTACGCTACAGATCTGGCTGAGGCAAGCCCAGGGCAAAGCTCCTGATTATGATGTCTGACACCATCCTTCAGACTATTGCCTTGGCTTCTGGGGAAGAAGGAAGGAGCATATCTTAACTGCCACTGTGATGAAGGAACTGTTCACCACAAATGAGAAGCTCTTCTTTCTTTCCCTTCAACTGTCTTTTTTTGTTTTAAGTCAGCATGGCATGCCTGGGAGCATGCAATACCTGCTAGACAAACTCCTCTCAGAGTAATGTTGACCTTGAGATAATTATTCAGAGGAAAAGAAGACTTCTCTCTGCAGGGTCGTAACAGTGGAAGAACAGTTAGAAACCATTGGAAGACTTGGCCAGCAGTCACGAATCCCTCTGAAGAGCTCATTCAAAATAACTTTATGTGGTACTTGCTCTGAGGACCAAGCAGGGACTCTACAACCTGGGCTTGCCTTTGTGAGGCATTAGTATAGACCAAATAAAAAAAAATGCTGCAGTAAATTGAAAAGTTTAAGTTTAAAACAACCAGATTACTGAACAGATTTATGATACCATGAATTTAAGTCCAGGATGGTGTGTAGTTAGTTCCTTTTTCTCTTATATTTTTGCTTGAATCCTTACTCTGGAAATCACCTGATGTAGGAGAAGGCTATGGTGAGCTTATCTCTGGAACATCCCAAGTATTGAAAATACAGTGATATGTGTTTCCTTTCTAAGTCCATGTTTGTAGTTGCTTTTGAAATCACTTTTTAAAATTATGATTCATTAGACTACAGTCATTATTTCCCAAACTAAGTCACTTAAGTATTGAGTACTCTGTGTATTATTATTGACTTAATATTTATGTCTTAAAATTAAAATATTTTAACAAGAAACTAATCTCTACTCCAGGTGGAAAACCAGCATCAGTTTGCCATACATAAAAGGTAACTAAAAATAAATAAAACAAAAAATGTTACTAAATTCTAGCTAGACACTAATGCCTGCCAAGGCTCTGGATCCAAGAGATCTGTTCTTTATCTGTTATAGTGAGAGAGATGTTACCCAGCACAAAATGGGGCTCTCTCTATGGAATTATCAGGAGGATAAAAGAAAAATGTAAAGGGAATGACATTCACACTGTGATTCAACATTATTTAACTCTGTGTTATGTACCACCTAAAATCATCTGTAGACCATCAGTGGTGTGGGCCCTACACTGAACTGTACCAAGAGTCAGAAGGTGACTATTCTCCCAGAGACTCTTACCATTCTATGGCTTTAAGGAGTTAAGCACCTAGTGTCTTAGAAAACTTACTTGTTTTCTGAAACATTATAAAGATTGTTCAAGCAGTTATGAATTAAAAATATAGGAAGTACAGTTTGATTCCATTGGCAACATCTATAGCTCTCCTGGCTTTGGAAGTTATCATCATGAGAGAATTTTTGTTTTTGTTTTTATTTTAAAGAAGTGATTCCAAACAAGGAATTCATAAGGTACTGAAATTTGATATCCAGAAAAACAGTGGACCCATTACATATAATTTATGTTACTGGGCATATTTATTAAGCAGAAGAAATAGTCCAGAGGGTAGTCATTGAGCTATCTTGTTTGCCTGAACCAGTATGAGTAGGTATGTCTACAACTGTAAAATCTTGCTTAACTAGAACCTTTTTCTTGCATCCTCCTTTAGGAGAATGAGGCAAAAGACAATAAGTTTATGATATCAGGAATTTATTTAAAACAAGAAACTCCAATTCACCCCAATTTTCTGCCTCTATCAAAACTGTATAGAAATTTTGTCTATTCTGAGAAATACCCCAAGGTCCCTCATGATCCTAAATCATCAAATAAAATTATGTTTGGTATTTTGTACTTAACAGCCAGAAAAGTGAAATGATACAACTTAGAAAGGTTTTTCTAAACTAATGGTTAGAATAAGGGGAGTTTTTTTGTAAATAGTCAATTAGCCAGCAAGTTGGAGCATTCTGGTTAATTGTGACTGCCGTCAGTTCACAACTCTCCTACAAGTTTGGTTCATTTTGGTTCTCCTTTCATTGAATTACTGAGTTATGTTTGGTGTATGTGGATCTAATTAGCAAGGACACTTGAAAACTCACCAGCTACCTTTAAATGCTTAATTTTGTTTTTGTTTTTGTTTTATTTTTTCACCAGCTATTTTGGTTAAAAGGATGTTTACATCTTAATGTAAAAAAAAAGGTATAAAAATTTTTTATGTAAATAGAAGTGCTTTCTTTCATTATTTAGTGCCTGCATCTCTGAGTTGTCTATATAACTTCCCTGTCTCTATCATGTTATTGCCAAAGAAACTGAATCTGAAAGAGAAAATTTTGCCATGAATGTAAAGAAGTCCTAAGGCTCTTGAGAAAGAACACTTAGGCCTCTAATGTGTGTGAAGGTAAGAGTTTGCATTTATACTGCACTTTCACTTTTAAGAGCAATCCTCACTTACCTAATCATAAAGAGTTTCATAGGGTTGGGGGAGTAGTGGCTGCCCTCAGGGTATGAAAGAGTGAACTAGAACTAGGGTGATCAGATAGTAATGACTTAGCTAGGGTCATAGGGCTAAGCACACACCATTTATAATCTTTTAGCCCAGGACTTTTCCCCCAAAACAGGAGGCTAATGGATAACTATGATTATATTCAGGGAATATGTCTATTCTTGGTAAAATCAAGGAATTGGTGGTTTCTTAAAATAGTGAGCTCAGGCCTGCTATCAGATCTAGGTGTACATTATATTTAATTCAAAAATACTCCCTTTTGGTTAAGGTGTGATGTGAGGCAAAAATACTCTTTTTTTAAATATTCTAAAAGTCATTGCAATATTTGCTTGCTGTTTTGGTCTGTATTTGAAATGTTTTTATACTGGGATCTTTCCCAAAAAAATTTGAGGCGTCATACCAAGAAAAGAAATATACAATAATTTTAATAAAATATGAACAGAAGTGGGAAGAAAAGATCAGTGAAAATGAAAGGAAAGGTGAACACAGCGCTGTTAGGGGGTGTAAAGTGAGACTCTTGAGCTCCTCGAAAGTCAAGGAGAGAGAAGGGAAATGAGTTCCACCTCACTCTAGCTCTGTCTGTAAGTCAGAGCACACCAGTTCCCGAGGGGAGACTTCTTCCTGATGAATTCTAGTAAAAATGTTCTCGCTTAGGGTGTCCTGTGAAATGTACAATGCTGAAAATGAACAAAGTCCTCAGTTGTTTTACACACATATGCATGTTATGATTGTGCTTTGGAATTCAGCCCATACCAGCTTTCAAAGGCTTTCATTTGAGGGGGTTTTTTGTGTGCGGAGTTAATAGACGATTTTGGTCCCATAAGTAAGAACTCTTGTCCTAAGCTAAAAATAAGTATCTGAGTTAAAGCTTAAAAATCCATTTTAGGCAAATGCTTGGAGATGTGGAGAACCTTTACTTGACTTTGTGATTTATAACTTATGTAAAGTGAGTGTGTTGTGCTTGGATTAGCACATTTATGCTGTGCGAAATGTGGTCTTTTTGACGGTGGAATTTAGTCTGGAGAAATGCATGGCTCCAGTTCTGCTAGGCCATGTCTGGAATCTCATTAGAGACCTGATTTGTCAAGGCTCCACAGAGACCAGAGGTGTCATATGAGCTTTCACGTCCTGTTTCAGCATTGTGTCCCTCTTGAGGTTAGTTGCCCACCCAACACTCAGATGTTTGGCCTTTATCCCAGAAGGTTTATTGAGTAATGCGAGGTCCCACTCTGAGCTGTTGGATTCCCAAGAGACATAACAAAGTGTGGGCCTGTGTGTGTGTGCACATGTGTGAGCGTGTCTTTACCTGTTTTATTATTGTAGCACTTCTGTTCACTGTAAAAGTTAGAGCTATCATGGAGTATGTGGTAAAAGAACGAATAGGTTATTTCAAAAGCAGCCGTCACTCAGACCAAATTAAACACTTAGTCTTACCACAAATTAAGTCACTCTTCAAGGCTGCATTTTTTATCTATGGTCCAGCCTCCTTTGTATCTTTCTGCTTTATTATTTGTAAGGGAATGGAGTATTTCTACCTAAAAATGCTGTGCTAAAAAAAAGCAAACCTGATTTTTGGGTTAACTTGAGTTTAGTTAAATCCTAGGTAAGAGTTAATAAAAGAAACCCCTCCAACTCTAAGCGTTTTGAAAGAGTTTGTTTGTAAAGGCTCTGTCAGCTGTAAATTCAGCTCCTCTGGTCTTATTGATTAGAATTAGGTGTGTCTGATCATCTTCATCCATGTTCTGGGACTGCTGTGGAGTCTGGTATCTCATAGCCTCCTGTTTGAACATTGAGTTTTCCAAAGAGAAGCTGTGTCTGCAGCTGCTACTCTGGTAGCATCTCTTCCTTGAGTGGCCACAATTTCTAAATTACCTTACGTAGCATGTGAAATCACAGTGCTGTGTGATTGGAAGCCATGTGGCTTGTATCCTCCTTGCTTATGAACAGTGAGTGGTGTTGACACAGGTGCACATTTTCTTCAGCACTGGCAGTAATTTGTGTATAATAGTCTCAGAACAACTGGAAGCTGTAGAAAGCTCAAGGAGAGCAGGCTTGGTTCTCAAAGAGTTCCTGAAATCAGTACCATAGCCTTAAGAATTGTTCCTGCAATTTCCCTGGCAACAAACAGTATGTTTTAGCCATCCTTGCCTGAGTTCTCCTTTGCCCTTCTGGTCCTGCATCCCGCAGCCCAGCAACACAAGCATCCCCCCGCAGAAGCCCATTCAGGCTCCATCCATCTGACCCTCGGAGTCGGGACTCAGGCGCCCATTCCCCATTTGGTCTCAGCAGCCCCTCCCTAGTCCCACCTTCGTCACTTGCAACATGTGCCAGTGCCCTTCGTGGAGGCTTGGCTGTCAAGGGCCTCGCCCAGAGGTGAACAAGCAGCATTTTGCCTTTGTGCTTAAATTCCTCCGGTACTGAGGACAGTGATAAGAGTGGTTGTCAGGGCCTTTTGTGGGCCAGGGGTTCCCTACATGGTTATCCTTACAGCAGCCCATGGGACAGGAAGGGCCCTATTTCATGTTCACTTGAGGAAACAAGACTCATGTTCAAACCTGTGGCTCAGGTTATATGAAAGAAAACTCTGTGTGTGTGTGTGTGTGTGTGTGTGTGTGTGTGTGTGTGTGTGTGTGCATGTGCTAACCACTGGACTCTGTGTTATAGTAGCTGTGGGAACAGACAAGGCCACATGGGAAAGGCACTGTGTATGACAAGGATTTGATCTTCAGAAAGCGTTCATGTAGGTTTCTATCTTACAGACAAAGCACCTGGGAACTTTGGGAGCTAAGGGACTTCACCTCAGTCACAGAGTAACTAATGGTGACACCCTGATTTCATTCCAAATCAGTCCTACTCAGAACTCATATTCTTAACCACCATGTAACAGTAAGCTAGACAACATGGAAATATATTGAAGTATATAAGTTATATATATTGAAATATATATATAAGTAATCTACATTACTTTTTAAATGAAAGTGATCTGGTCAGTGTTAACTCCTGCAGTCTAGATGTCCTAGACTGAATAAAATAGTTTTCTAAAATTCCTACATCTGTAACAGTAACATAGAACAAGTGGCTGCTCTTAGAGGTATGGTGAACCTTAAATGTGCCTTAGATCTTAGGGCAGGCAAAGTAGAAAGTTTAGTCTTTGTAGTAAGACTCATGAATTCATGAATTAATGATTTCGATGTTTAGGCTTCATTGGTGATTCACATGTTACATTAACTTTTCCTAGCTGAAAGCCAGAATAGACTGGTGCTTTGATATGAAGTAATTTTATGGAAATTCTGCTCTAAGTGGTCCCTATATCTGAAAACATCAAAAGAAAAATGGAAGGTAACTATTTGCAACATCAAACAGTGATTATGAGTTTGGAGTCAGACTCCCTGGCTCTCCCTTCTACTGGCATTGTGATCTTAGCAAGTCATGTAACTTCTCTGCTTCAGTTTCCTCATCTGTAAAATGGGGATAATGGTACCTTGGGCAAAGCGTTACTGTACTAAATGAGTCAATAAATATAAAGTACTTATTAGATCCTGGCCCAGTGAGTGCTGGGAACAGCATTGTCCATAGCACTGTGGTCCTTATTGTTGGTGTTATTATTACTATCCAGGCAGTAAGGGTGTTTTTAAATTGCAGATGCCCCCAGATATGGTAAGTCATTGCACAAGACTTTTTAGAAATTGCCAGTTGAGTGAGGGTCCTGTTGAAATGTCTAGCAGGCAGTTTCCCTGCCCTGGCCAGCTCTCCTGTGCAGACTTCCGGGCAGGGCATGTTCAAAGAGAGGAGAAGGCATTGGAGAGGCTCTGCTTGCCACATGCCTGCTGTTCATCAGGTGCTTTCCGTAAAGGAGGTTATGTGAGCTCAAGACCTATCTGAGGTTAAGTAAGCAGGCTTACATTGTCCAATGTCACAGAGCCTGGAAGTGGTGGTCTCTGCTCTCCAGGACCCCACAACCTCCCAGGCAACTGGAGTGCTGTTGAACATGGTGAGTGCCTCTAGGATTCTCATATCCTCACCTTGCCCAGTGTGGCCCCATCATCCCTCCCTTTGAATGTCCCAATCTGGTCTAGCAGGTGCCCTTGGATGGCAGCCGCCCTAGTGCCTGCCGTTCTGTAAGGGCCCCTGTGAGAGTGTCTGTGCTTGGGGTCTGTGCCTTAATGGGAGGCGAGGGGTTGGGGAGGCAGCCAGCAGCCTCCAACCCGCAATATGGAAATATCATATGGATGCTGGGGAGGTGAGAGCTCAAGGCATTCTTAAGAAGCACAAATGAGCATAGCTTTTAAAAGACTGATGTGAAGCAAAATGCACCCCTCCAAAACAAAAAACAAAAAACCCCATGTAAGCCAAAAAGTGCCATTCAGCTGGCAAAGTCAAAGCAGAGAAGCAAATTTTACAAAATTAGAAAATAGTCTGTTAGAATACCCAGAGATGCTGACACAACAGAGATCCCATACAGGTCTGAATTAGAAATTGGCTGAGGGGAGAAAAAGGTGATGAGGCCCTAATGAATTCCAACAAGAGTTCTTTAAATTCACAGGCCTAATAGACCAGCAACATGATCGCAGGCCTTGGGGGTGAATATGTGCCCCCCCCCCCCCCCCAGTGACAGGGGGCCCAGGTCAGCTCACTACAAGCAGCAGGGTGGTGAGGTTTGGGGCCTGCAAGCCAGTGGGGACAGGATGACTACTTTACCTTCAGCTCTAAATGCATCCTTTCCTTCTCTTTAATCTTTAGCCTCCATCTCCTGTCTTTCTGGACCCTCTGCCTGCTCTGTGAGCCTAGACTGATCTCAACCCAGCAGCCCTCCAGGCTCCAAGGACGGCGGGGGGCCTTGATAAAAGGACTCCTGGCCGCACTGCTATCCTGCATGGCTGGTGCTGGCTTGGTGTCCGGAGGGGAACAGAGTAAAGGCTGCTCTGACCGTTTGAAAGTGACCTTCCCACAGATTCCCCCTTGTATGGTGCTTTCACATCATTTGTCTCTCTGTGTTCGGCTCTAAAATCTTAAAATCCTAATTCAGTTGTGTTCAGGTTTGTGTCATACAGGTGGCCTAGCACTTGAAGATTAAAGAGGTATACAAATATCTAGAATCAAAAAATGACAGAGGAGGAAGAAACCACGGCCATCAGCCATTCGAATGGCCTCTGTTCTGGTGCCTGCCTTTTGAAGCAGTGACCTCTGCGGGTGGGAAGGAAAGACAGGCAAGAGGACAGCAAATATCCTTCTCCTCCCAAGAAAGTGAAAACACTGCCAAAGGGCTGTTTTGAGAACCTGGAAGAATAAGAAAAGCTATGATACTATAGTAATTGGATCTCATTTCCTCTCTTGTCAACCTTGAGGAGGGGCAAGCCCTCTTTCCCTGCCAAGATCATCAGTACCCAGCCAGATGCACACACCGGACGGAAGCGCCTGTGGGCTAGTGCTATGGGCTTTTGTCCCCGAGGATCAGAGCTGCCCCAGGGGCTGCACCAGTCCTTTTTCCCACTGCCTCCTAGGCCGGGGGCGGGGTGGGGGAAGGTCAGCACACACGAGAAAATGTATGTGAAAGCTCTTCATACACTGTGAAGTTCATCCAGGTGGGGGGGCATGGTATTCTCCGGCCTGCTGTACACCCCCCACCGCCCTCCTCCCCACTGTCAGCACCAGGCCTTCCCTCTCCCGACGCTAGGCTCTGGTATTTGCTACGGCTGGTCCAGCCCAGCTGCGTCGGTCCTTTCCTTCTGGAGGGCACTTTTACAGTATTTGTTCTCTTCAGTGTGGAGTTACTCTGATTTAGAGAAATTCAAAAGCTTTGGGTTTTCGTGGTCCGTTGTCCCTGCCTTTGCTGTTCTCTTGTTCAGGTGGCCGTGCGAATCTGCTCAGCACTGCTTTGGACTATTGTACATCCTGAGGCCCAAGAATGCTTTCCTGCCCTGCAGTGATACAGGGTCAGCATCTTTTCCAGGCCCTGAGAAATTCACTTTCTGCTGATTAGCTAAACTCATGGCCAAATTTATGGAAAATACCCATCTTTTATCATGTAAAACTGCATCTCTAGACACGATTTAGCTGTACACCACTTGGGTGGTATTTTCTTTTGCAAAAGTGTGCTTGTTAATTCTGAGTCTTAAAGTAACATGGCTACCTGGTGAATATTTAGCTTCAGCTCCCTCAGTGTGCCAAGGTTTGCTGTGCCTTCCTGCTAACGGTGATAAACTCACCTGCAATCAAATCACTGCCACGTTTGCAGTCTCTCTTGCTTTTAGTTGTCTTTGCTGTTGGTGGGCATTAAAGTGTGTTCAAAACTCATCCCACACATCAAAGGCATTTTTGCTAATAAGTTTGTCTAATTAACTTTCTAGGCATGGATATACTTTTGGGGAAAAGGGAGAAACAAGTGTGTTCTCTGGGATTAGCTCAGTGGAGATAGGATGACTTATCCCTTGTCCAGCCCGCGCTGGGTGTGTGCACGCATGCGTGTAGCTTCATGGGCCTGCCTGAGCGTGTGGTGTCTCCCAGCCATGGCAGGGTGGGAATCCTTCAGTTAAGGTCACCACCTAAGCTAATCAGCTTGTAAAGTCTGGCCTTACCACTTGCTCTCCTTTTCTAATTGACATGCCTCAGCCCCGAAGGGTTCTCAGAGTTCACATTCACTCTATACAATTACATCCTTCACCATGCACATTTCAATTCCCAACAACGTCTATTTTCTTTGGAGCAGGAAACCTGCCTATGAGCAGGACTACTATAGTTATGTCCACATGCTGCATTGTTGCAGTGAACCCAAGGAAATATTTTTCACTGGCTCCTTCATTTTCACTTGTGCTAAACTTAATTTGACCAAGCCCCTCTGGTTTTATTTCCTGAACCCAAATATAATCCTGCATTTGATGGGTGCAGCAGGCAGGAAGTGCTGAGAAGGGCCCCTGCCTTCCTACCAGCTCTGCCTTCCTCGCAGGAGCAGAGGAGTCCTGGGCCACGCAAGAAGTTACCTGCATGGCCTTAGCAGACAGGCCCACTTGGGATCTCGTCTGTTAACTACCAGCTGTGTGGGCTTAGGCAAATAGCTCAACCCCTCTGTGACTGTTTCGTCATCCGTGAAATGGTGTGGCCAGGAGAACTGAGATAATGTTTGTATGGTGCTTATCCCAGAGTCTGGCACACAGAGAGTGTCCCATAAGTGGGAGCCGTTATTATTAGGTCTCCAGGTCAAATCAGTTCACCCGGGGCCTGTAGCAACTCTTTCTATCCACTTGGGGCCTTTTGACAATCTGTATACTCATCTGTATTTTCAACTTTCTTTCCCTTAGCATAGAAACATGCTTGGCCCACTTGTTTTAAAACATCCACCCCTCGACCCTGGATCTTTGCTGGTTCTATCCTCAGTCACTTGTCCCCTTCACTGCTGGTCCACCTCCTCATCTCTTCGTTCCTCAGCCTCCTGCACCCCGGCACCTGCTCCTCAGTCTAGTGAGTCTGCTCTTGCCCAGGTCACCAGTGTTCTTCTACCTGGCTGCCGTAATGGCATCCTCTCCAGAGCAGCTAGCTGCCCTGCCCTCTGTCAAGCGAGGCTCTACCTTGCGAGGCTCCTTCTGCAGTGTCCCACTGCCCCACCAAGGGCTGAATGCACTGGTTTTTGGACCAGAACCAGGCTCATGGCCCAAGCCACAAATCAGACCAGGACACATCACCAGTGAAAGTGTTTAATAGTTAAATTATTTAAATAGACTTTTCAATTTCCATGGGAAATCATAATTGTATCTGTTTTTTGCAAGAGCAGGAATAAAAAGAGTGCACACCCCTTGGAGGGAATGAAGAGCTAGCACTGCAAGTGGCCACCAGTCACTGCTGGGATGGGGAGGACAGGCCCCCTCGAGGCCAGAGAGGCAATGGCCAACAGAGGGAATGGGGTGGGGTGGGGGTTCCTCAGCACACAGACAGTACTTAGGCTGGAAGCAAAATGAAAACCCAGCACCACTGGCGGACAATATGGCGGGGTAGGGACTTGAGAACAGGACCACGGAGAAAGCTATCCCCTTGCAATAGATGCAAGAGGGGTGATGCAGAACTCAAAGGATGGAGCAGCAAAAGTGTGGACAGACTCAGGCTGGCAGTTTTCAATCCAGGAAAAAAAGTTTTACTTCTCAGAGCTGTGTTCAAATTGGGGTGGGAGCTGGTGTGTGGAAAGGGGAGGCCAGGGTTAGTGTCCAGTGAGAGGTGGTAGGTGGGGGTCCAAGTAGCGTTTTGGAGCTGTTACACAGCTGCCTCCCCACCTCCAAGCTTGTGCTGGAGTTGAGAATAGTTCTGTCCTGAGAAGCAATGCAAAAATCTGGGGCACATGTCCAAGGACTCTGCTTGAGGGCATCTCTGTGATAGTATGTCCTTTTCCAGATGCCTCCTCACAGGGTATAAAAACTTGGCATTAACCGCCACCTCCCAAGAAAACAAAAACCAGACAAAATTTCTGCTAGTTTTGCCCCGTGAAGCTAGGCTCTACCCTTTCTTCTGGTTTACAGGTGGGGGGCAAGGCCACCACACTTCCCTGAACCTAAACACCGCACATTACATCCCCAAGACTAAGGGATCATCTCAGGAGAGAGCCACCTGCCCCTCAGCCACCTGGAAGGCCAGCCAGGTGCAGTTCCTCACCCCCGCCCGAGCTGGGGCCATCCGCTGACCTCTCTGAGCTGCAAGAGCTGCCTCTCCTCGGCTGCCATCGCAAGGAGGGGACGGGTGCGCAGTGGCGGCTGTGTGCTCTGCCACAGGCCGAGGCTGCTTCCCTTGTTCCCACCTTGGCCTGAGGTGGGAAGGAAGCTTTTTGTTTTCATTATATTTGCATTTTACTTACGGAAGTGATTCTGTGTGTGTGTGTGTGTGTGTGTGTGTGTGTGTGTTAGAGAGGTGGGATAATGTGTACATGCATCTTCCTACTTAATCTGAACCCAAAAAGACATGCTCACTGCTCTGGCTGGACCTGGGAAAAACAAAACTGCCAAATCTGAAGGGAGGGAAACAGGTGTTTTGTCTGAGACCAGTTCCACAGCATAAACACACACACACCGGTGCACACGTGGACATACATACAGTACAAATGAGCACAAACACCCGGCTGTACACAGCTGTTTTCTAATATAGAGAATTTACAAAATATAGAATTTGGTATATTTGTTAGCTCTCCAAGGTTTTCAATAATACAAAATAAAAATACAAAAAAGACAAGTTGGAATCCCCACCCCCCTCCCCAGTGGCATCTTCGTTTGCTTGCAGGTCTCTTACACGCATACAACTAGCATAGTCTAAAGAAGGGCACAGAAACTTGTTTTATTTAATAAATATTTTCTTTTTCTCAGAACCACCAGTCCTTGCTCCAAGTCCTCTCGCCTCCCCTCGAATTAGTTCTGTCCCTCTCAAAGGGGCATTGTGGGGTGGAGGAGGAGGACCCCGAGGAAGGCCACTTAAAGTCCCTCCAGAAGCCAGCACTTCTGCCCAAGAGCCCCTCCACAGAGCAGGGGCCTCCACCTCTGTCTGAAGTTAAAGGCTCACATAGAAAAGCAGACCCCTCAGGGTCCTGGGTTCCGGGCCGGCGTGGCGCCGAGGCCTCTCCCTCAGCCCAGCTGTGGCAAGCTGGGCTGCTGCACACCGGGAGACACTCGGCAGCTCCTTGCCACCCGTGCAGCAGCACCTGTTCAAAAACTCAGGATTCAGATCGCATCTCGCAAAGTCTGCTACAGGGGGAAGCATCTTTGGTCAGCTTGGTGCTGGCAGGACGCTGGCACCCCAGGGCCTGGGAAGGAGGCCGCTGCCCGCCTCAAAGGCAAGAAGCTGCTTCTGGAGTCAAAGCGGAAAATGTCACCAGTGCGGCCATGTGGGCTGGAGCACAGGCTTCCACCTGCCTGGCCGGCACACAAGCCATTTCCATTCCTCTGGAGGGCCAGGCTGCCTGGCATCGTTGCTGGCAGCTGCTAACTTAGCGGGGGCCCTCCATTGAGGAAGTAGGTCATCATCTCGCCTTTGCCCTTGACCTTGACCACACCCCTGCACTCCAGCTGGTATGTGTTGGCAGCCAGAACCTGGTACATGTCCGTGGTGACCTAAGGAGGCAAAGGAAGAGAGGGGCAGGCCACTGATGAGCTGAACTGTGCATAGGCGCTGCCCGACGGCCCCTGACACGGGGCTGGGCGGCACCTCCAGGAGCCGCAGCTGCTTATGCACAGAAGGGCCTCTTAGAAACAAGAAGGGTGACAGCACCTACTCCACACTGGGCAGGGTGGCAGGCACCTCACACGTGCTATTTCAGTGCTGTTCAAAGTGTGGCCTGCGGCCCGCAAACTGCTTGTCATGGTCCACAGGAGTGGAAGGGCAGGAGCTGAGAGGAAGTGTTTAGGAGCTCGCATCATCTGACACCGCCACAGCCAGTATCCAAGCCCAGGACGAGGCCTTCACCGGGGTCTTACACCAAGACAGATCAGAGATATTTTTGGAAAGTGGTTTTTCACCACAGATAGTTTGAGAACCACTGCTTATCGCATTTAATCTATGAGGTAAGTATGATTACCTCAGGCTCAGAAAATCTAAGTCATTTGCCTACGGTTACACAGCAAATGATGGCAGAGCTTGGACTCAGTTCCATATTGTATTACCGATCTCTGCTTTAGCTTCTGGAACAAAGAGACTCAGGTGGCTTCAGTAATTACATTGTGTTATTGCAGGGCAAAGGAGAAGGGCAGGGGTGACAGGAGCAGCAGGACAGATGAATGCCTCACGAGAGGATCCAAGAGTCCTTTCTGGGTACTGCCAGCGCTCTACCCCAGGCCACCACAACAACCTGCTGGGTGCCCTGGCCCAGTCGGGCTGTCAGGTCAGGGAGGAAGGGCCAGGAGCCTCTGGATGGGCTGCTGGGAGGTGACCCAGCTGTGTTGTTATTAAGTGTATTCCAAGAATGGCAAATCCCTGTGTCAGGTGGCTGCTGGCAGAGTCCCTCTCACCTGTCCGTGGATGAGGTTAGAAGCTCTGCGGACACACAAGCCTCCGTCCCCATCTCCCCTCAGGGCCTCTAGCTCCCATTCTGCTGTCCCTTCTCTCCTGGGTGCCAGGATGGAGGTGATAGAAGGCCATTCTCCCAGGCCCCTCAGACAGCACCCATAAGCCAGCCAGGCTAGGCCATCTGGCCAAGGCGAAGCTTGGGGCCAACCCCTTGAGGTCCAGCAGGACAGAGAAGTTAAGGGAAACTTAAGCAGTGTCAGAACAAAGGTCCATAAAAAGAGTACAGTTAGCACTTGGGAAAACTGAGGTCAGGGAAGCTGAGTGTCTTGCCCACAGCCTCACAGTGAACTGGGGCTGTGGGAGTGCAGGACTAGAGCCCCGTCCTCTCTTTCAGATTAGAGCAGACAGAATCAAGGAGGGCCTGGGGAAAACAAAGAAAAGCATCTGAGCAGTAGGTCTGGGACTCACAAGCGCCAGTTCACAAAGGATGAAGAGAGGTTTCTGGGTCTCTAGCTGGGCCCCTTGACTCTTGGGGCTGGTGGAGACACCATCCCAGGAGACAGCAGCCTTGTCTCATTCTTCTGAGTACTGTGGACTCCATTTGACAAGACCCTGCTCCCTGCAGCCATCTTTGTGACCCCTCTGTGTGCCTGGGTTGTGGTGGTTGCCATCTGGGCTTGGCACGGGCAGCCAGCTTTCCCCTAACCCCCAATGCCCACTGCAGCCAGTAGAGGGCTTTGTGCAGGGCTGAGGATCTGTCCAAGGTACTGAGGGCCTGAAACACAATCATGTTCCAGCTTCCAAGACATCCCCCTCAAACTTGGCTGCAGAAATTCTGACTGGGAACTGTGAACAGCCTGCCCCAAAGACCCTTAGCAGCAGGCAGAGGCCCCCTGATATGGATGCCCCATGTGGTAGGCGCTCGTGCACTCACCTGGATGCGGTCGGGCACGCCAGTGCTGTCCATGCGGCTGGCCACGTTCACTGTATTGCCCCAGATGTCGTACTGAGGCTTGCGAGCCCCGATCACCCCAGCCACCACTGGGCCAATATTGAGCCCTGAAGGGGACAGAAGTCAGCATGTTGATGGGGCTCAGGCTACGCTTCCTTCCTGAACCCTCAACAGGTTCCCTCTGACTCAGCCTGAGGACACCAGGCCCTCCAGTCCAGGGGCTGTGCTAAGCCCTGCAGCTCCCACTTCTCTGCTCCTAGCAAACACCTTCTAGCTGAGACCACAGGAACCTGCCCACACGTCCATGCTCCTGCGTGCTCAGCACCAGTCAGTGCTCAGCCCCTGCAGCTCCTTCACCAGGACTGCCTCTTCAAGGTTTCCAGGGACCTCCTGCATCATCCAGTTGCCTTTCCTTCATGGTCTCTCTCGGTGGCATTTAAGTTTTCTCTGTCAATTCAGACTCCCCGTACCAGAACTCACCCCTTTCTTCCTCCTCTCTCCTGTTCCTTTCAGGCTGCCACCTTCTTGTTCTTAGAAGCTAGCTCCTAACCCACCAGTCTCTTCTTTCTCCCATTAACCTTTCTCCCCGGCTCTGAGCAAGGGCAGGGACACAGCGCTCCAGCCGTCCACACGCGCTCCCCATCTCACCCTGGCCCATCAGCCCAAGTCTGCCCACCTTCCCAATCTTACCCGAGGCAACCCTGAGCAACCCTGCCTCTAAGCCTTTGCTGTGCTGGTCTCCACCTGGTGGCCTCCCTCCCCTCCAGGTGAAATCCTTCCCTGGTACATCTGCCAACATTCTCTAGACATCTCCTGCCCTGTCTCCAAGCTCCTTCCTATTACCTGGACTATCTTACACTGGGCTTTCTTAAGCCTTGTTGCTCAGCTGTTGGTTGTGTGTGTGAGGGACGACTACCAACACAGCAAACTCCCAGAGAGGCGCCTCAGGCCACCTGCTCAGAAATGTCATCAGTCCTCAAAACTTCCCTCCATGACCCTCCTCTTTGGTCCTGTCGAGCCCTATGTAGCTTTTTACCCCACCTGCTCTTTGCCTCTGAACTGTCCCACTCTCTGGCCAAAAGCCACGGCCCCCAGGGAAGACATTCCTGAGTGTGTAGGATGGGATCTGACACCCAGGGCTCCTGACCGCCTGCCCAGCTGCTCATCGGCCTGCTCATCTGACGTCAGGGAGCCCAGGGCGAAGGTAACACAGAAACATAGGCTGCACGTGGTTACAGCAGAGCCCAGCTGGCTCTGCCCTGAGCTTCCCAGCAACCACAGCAAATGAGACTTTGATCAAGTCTACCAAGCACAGGGCTAAAACAATCCAGTCTGTTCAGGGAAAGCCCATTTCCTGACACTCAGGCCGAAACTAAATATCTCCCAAGGACATTAATGATCACAAAATGGATTTTTTACTAATCCAGTATTTCGATTCAGCTGAAATACTAGGATTTTTGTTGGTGTGTCACTGTTACTTTTTTAAACGTTTGAAATCTGAAACATTGATGGCTTGATACATACCCAGGAGTTGATATGCATTAAAATGTTGACTAGAACAAAGGTCTGCTCCTTCAGAAAGCATCCTTTACCTACACAATCCTCAGGCAGAAGATGGCAACACTCAACAAAGTTTCTACTACAGAAATGACTTGCCCTCTAGACACCTGAACATCCTTGGTAGGATATTATACTAAGGACACAGGAATGGCAGAAACACCCTGAACTTTATGGAGCAACAAATTCAGAACTGTAATTCTGAAATCATGTTGTGCATACAGTGGGATACAGCCAGTGCATGAAGGTGTCTATATACATGGGTTTACATTGTGCTGTTTCAGCTCTTCTGTAGAGCCGAAACTTGTGAGAATAACAGGTTGTGGTAACATAACAACATTAAATAGAAAAAGGGAAACAAAATTATATAGGTTGTTGGTTCGAGGTTTTCTGAGCAAATAGAATATGGCCCTGACTGTTTACAAACTGACCCAGAGCCTCTGCTCAGAATCCCCCTCTCGTCTCGGCAGCCCCTACTCTGGCCCACCACAGCACTACAAAGCTCCCTCAAAACCACCCAATGGGCTGAGGCAGCTGACAAAGAAAGAGTTCAGGGAAGACACATGGACTTGACTTATCACCACATCCTCATCATTTCTTTCCCTAATTTGCGTAGATTAGAAAAGCTTTTACAGCACCTGGAAAGTTTTGCTCACCGCACACCCACAAGCCACTTGGAACTCGGCAGTAACTCCACTGACCCGTTAGATTTTTAAGGTCACCCTTTTTAACAAAGTTGAAATATAATAATTCATGTGATTCTTTTCATGTTTAGTTTTTTTAAATATTCACTTTATTCCTTTCATTTTGCTAACAGTTTTGTAGAACGTATGCTTAATATTTTTATGAATTTTCAAATTGAATGACTTGTGCCATGTTTATGCATTTTGTATCTAAAATGTGTAAGTATTGCATTTTACTGCTTTGCATATTTACTGAATGAATTCAGAACACTTTTAAATTAAACACTACCATTAAGTCGTTATTACTTGAAATAAATGGGACTGTCATGCCCCTGAGGCAGCCCCCAGAAGACCCTGTGCCCAGGAACACAGCAGCCCCCACAAAGCCTTTCGGGCAGACAACAGCCTGTGTCCAACCGGGCCTTCCTAACAAGTGGGCGAGGTGGCACTCAGAATGAGGGTGTCCTGAGTGTGTCACCTGCACACCCACAAAAGAAGACATACATCTCAGCCCAGGAGGATTCCGCTGTGACTGACCGATGACCCCCACCCCCTTGGCAGGACACACTATAACGTCAGACTGCTCAGACAGGTGTGGTTGGGGCTCGGGGATGGGGCGGGGAGCCCCTAAGCCCCGGCACTCAGGACCCAGCTCACCGATCTTCATCTGGAAGTTGTTGAAGGAGTGCTCATTGATGTACTTCATTTGGTCCATCAGCTTCATGGCGAAGTCGGCCAGCGCTTTGATGTGCGTCTTGCCCACCTTGTCGTAGGTGGAGTCGTTGAGGCCCGAGGCGGCCATGTAGGTGCTGCCAATGGTCTTGATCTTTTCCAGCTGCCTGAACCGATCCTCACTGATGATCTGGACAGAGGGAGAGCAAACCTGGGTCACCCCCAAATCTGGGTCACTGAGGTCCACAGGGAAGTGCAGCCCTGTGGCTCCTCATGTCTCCCTAATGCACACAGGGTCCCGTCTCCATCACCAACTCTGCGTGAAGCCCTGATGGTGCCAGACAGAGCCAGGCCTCCTCCGGCACTCACCCACTGTACAGTGGCTGTGTGCTACTGTCCCCACTCCCTCACCAAGAACTCTGGGTCACTAGCCACCTCTGGGTCTTTTGCCCCCAATAGGGGCTGGTGGCTGTCTCCTGCTTCGCTGGCGAACCCACCTCATCTTCGTCCAGTAGGATACCCTTCTCTTTCTAGGACCTGCCAGAAGCCTGCCCACACCCAGCTTCCATTACCCCACTCCCCAGGAGTCTTGGGCTATTTCCAACACTGCCGGGCCCAGCTCCACCATCCCTCTCCTTCCTGTGCTCTGTGCCTAGGCCCTCTATTCCCACTGGGGTTGTCCCTCTCACATGCCCTACTTGATCTGCTCCCAGGATTGAGTCTGTCCATCGGGCACAGAGTCCCCAGTGCTGGGCACACACTAGGTGCTCAACAAGGGTATGACATACAAATGATGAAATGTTTTTGTTTCTGCCTCTGCTGTTCAGGGCCTTGCATCTTTGTTCTGCCTCCTCTCTCTGCCTGGGAATTCCTCCTTTCTTTGCCTCTCAAAGACTGCACCCCACCCTGGGGCCTGTGTCACCCTCGATGGCACAAGAGGAGTGCTGAGTGATGGGAAGTGGTCAGCAAGTCTGCCGGCAGGGCCTCTAGGGAGCAGCTGAGGCTCCAGGACTTCAATTTCAAACAGCCTGGGCTGAAACCACTGCTCGGCCACTATCTGAGGTCTGGGCTGAAACCACTGCTCGGCCACCTCAGAGGCAAGACCCGTAAGGTCTGTGGGCCTCAGAGTCCTCCCCTGTAAAGTGATGGCAGGGGAGGAAATGTAGGCAAGGAGCCTGTGACAGTGCTTGGGACATGGTCAGGGCTCCCGACATCATCACTCACATCTGCTGATGGCAAAACGGGGTGTCCCTCCGCTCCATGACCCAGCGTCCCCGGTCCCACCCCGTACCTCATCAAAGTCGGCGATGATCTCGTTGAGCAGCCGCAGGCACTCAACGCCCTCGTTGTTGGCCTCCAGCTCCACGTAGAACTCAGAGAAGTTAGCGATGGAGGCGAACATGACGGCCACGCACTCACACGACTGATAGTAGAGCTCGTCGTTGCGCCTCTCGCGGGCCAGGAAGTGGGCGGCCACGTCCTTGGGTAGGATGTTGTGCAGCAGCCGCCGGTTGTAGGCCTGCAGCTCCTCCATCTCCTCCTTCTCCTCCGTGGCCTGGGAAGAACACCCGGTCAGAGGGGGACAAGTGACATGCTACTTAGAAAAAGACAGAGGGATCCACCCCAGTGCCAACTGTGCCAGGATTTCAACAGGTGCCCGGCTTTCTGTCCTCTGCTCTCCCTTCCCTACTCCCAGGTTTTCTTTAAAGAGTGTCTAATACATTGACCATCAGGAAAGAGAGATTTTAAGTATCTAACTCTCCCCCACCTACCTGTTGGAAAGTGATACCTGTGAGGGTATTGGTCCCGAAGGAGGGAAGCCCTGAGTGGAAAAAGGTCCCAGAGGAGAGGTGGAAAGGATCCTGTCTGCCCAAGACTAGAACGAGGCAGTAGTAAAGGGATGGTAACCACACCTGACATGGCCCTACAGCTATGCAGGTGTCTTCAGCTTTCCATTTCCTCTTCATATCAGGCCACACAAAGGCCACGCAATCAGAAAAGTGTTGTGGTAAGGATCACTGAACCGACTGACCCCACAGGAGAGCAGCTTGTAGCTCTGCCCAGTCTCCCTGGGTCCCAGAGAGCAGACTCACTCCAGGGTCATGCACAGCCAGGCCAGGAGGTACAGGTGCCCCGAGGTGCCACTGGGATGGGGCAGGGACATCACCATTGGCATTGGTTCTTCCCCAGTTTGGGTCCTGGTCTAGGTGGCTGAGGTTTGTGTCCCTCACCCTCCAGGATAAAGGGACAATCCAGTTAAGAGGCCAACAGTGGCCCACGGCTGATGTGCAGAGGTAGGCATGCACCAGGGTGTGCAATGAGCCATCTGACCAGTGTTCATGGCCAAGGGGACACACAGCAGAGTCTGCTGGCTTCCTCCCAATCAGCGGCAAACAAAATTGCCCCTTTAAATGGGAGTGACCGTGTTGGTAAGGCAGGCAGGCAAAGATCAGTAGCAGGGCCATTTGAAAGATCTAGGCAGCTTGCTTGGGCCTTCCCTAACTAAACATGGAGGCCCTTTCTACTCAGCTTCAATTACAGCCTCCAAACACACCAGGACTACTTCTCAGGGCCCTGGTGCTCCTGGTGGGCAGTGGCTACCCATGGGGAAGGAGCTGGCACACCAACCCAAGGCCATGGGGAAGGCAGAAAGCTCAGGGACCCCAAGGCTCAGAGGCTCAGCCTTGCCCCTGAGATGGAGAACCCACAGCCCCATCATTCCTGGAGCCACTGGAAATGTGTCCACAAAGATGGGGGTCATGCCTGCGGCAGCTCCTGGACCTTTGGATGCCAGGTGGGTCCAGTGGGCACAACCCCTCTTCCTGCCCCAGATTGAACAAATGCAGAAAAATGTTATATGTTCATTTATATGTACACATATTTCCTATCTTTGTCCAAGGAGAGAACCTAGAATAGTGAGCACACTGAGCACTCTGATCCTGGTTTCTAAATACCAGCCTCTACAAAAAAGAATCAGGGGTTTTTGACAGTCACTGATTCCTTGGCTTGATCAGGGAAAGTACATGATGAGCCAAGACATCTTCTTTTCCATAAGGTACGAAAATGCTCAAAGAGTGATGAAGACATGTCAAAGAACACAGAAGCCAACGTTAAGAAACTCACCTGACCAAACCCAGGACAATTCTAACGTTAAAATAAGTAATGAAAGGAGCAGATTGAAACCCACTAAATTCTATTAGAATCTATGAAACCATATTGATATAAATAAATGAATGACTAAGTAAATAAGTGGGGGAGAAGGGTTCTACCTTATGGCAGAATGCCAATTAACAAATGCAGAAGGGGTCATTGCTACCTGGAAGGCAGGGTCAGCAATGGATGCTGAGACTGGTGGGTGGAAGTTTGCTGAGGATCAGAATATTTGTGTGAGACATCAGAATACCTTTCTGCAAATGCTATCTGAATACAGAGGAGAAGATGGGGGCCTGACAGTGGAGAAATCTGGCAGATGCCCACTTGAACAGGTGATCAGGGTTGTTAGTGTCACTAGAGGGGGCAGGCCGACATAGTGGACTTCCCAGTGTGATGTGCTGAGATGTGCATGGCCTCATTTCCACGGTTTTTCTCCAAGAAGCCATGGCTGTGTCTGGATGTGGGAACATCAGACATGGGACCTAGGCTGAGGGTCACAGAATAAGGACCTCTTTAAGCCTGAGAGACAAGGAAAGACTGAGGAGACATGATAACTAAATGCAGAGTACGCTGGATAGGACCCTGGACCAGAACTGGGACAGCTGGCAAAATGGGAGCGGGCTGGTGGGCGGGCTGGCAGCGCTACCTGGGTGTGATTTCCCGGCTGGGAGGTCGCAGAGGAATGGTGTGGGGAGTGTGCCTGCATCTGGAAGGTAGACACTGGAGAACTCAGGGGTGAGGAGGCACCACGTCAGAGAAGAGAGAGATTGAACAGATGCAGAAAAATGGCTGCAGAGTCTGGTGATGGGACCACTGGGGTTCTTTCTACTGTTCTTGTAACTTTTCTGTAGGCTTAAAATTATTTTTGAAAACTTCCTCCCAGAAAAGAAGATAAAATTGGGAAGTGAGGCGTGGACTTGGGGAGGAAAGATAAAAACATGGACATAACCCATTGTGGCCACCCATGGAGAGGAACGCAAGGAACGCAGGGACCCCTTGGAGCTGAGGACACACAGGAGTGGCGGAAAAGGACCGGGTCCCCGGGTCCTCAAGACAACCGGGAGCTGGGCTGCAGCCCAGGACACTGGAGGGAATGAGGATGACCGGGAATATGGGCAGGGCGTTGGCCCAAAGGGACCGAAAAGGTCCTGCCCCCATCCCCCACACCCCTTCCCGCAGCCGAGGTGAGCCCCCACAGCTCCGGCCGTCCAGGCCTGGGAGGCTCAGACCCGCCGAGAGCTGGGAGGCTGCAGCTCTCCGGGAGAGGCGGGCCCCACCTGTGGTTTGCCCGGGTCTCCACCTTCAAACTCGAGAGGCGGCAGCTGGCCAGGGGCTGAGAGAAAGCTGCTGTGGCCTGGGCTGGGGGAGCCGGCGAGGGGCTCTGCTCGGCCCCGGCAGGCAGCCTCAGTTTGACCCCACACACTCAGGAGCTGGACAAAGCCATAGGGTCTGGGGGACGGGGCAGCCGGTCACAGAGGGGGGCTGAGGGGCAGGCTCACCCTTCCCTTGCTTCCACCCCTTTCTGGAGTCCTTTGCAACGCAACCGAGTCCCATGACAGCAGCCATCTTGGGGAGGGCTTTCTGGGCACTCATGGGGGAGGTGGGGTGCGTGTGAGCTGAGAAGTGGAGGGACTTCAGCCCCAGGTCCCACAGACCGTGGTCAGCCCCTAGGAAACACTGTTCCCCAAAGGAGAGGGTGTGACAGGGCAGGGAGGAGGCTGGGGCAGCTCTCTGAGAAGAGAAGGGCAGCCTCACTAGAGAGCCCTGAGGCCCCTCCCAACCCAGGGCTCATGAGGGGCCTTCCGTGGAAAATATGTTCCCCCAACTTCGGCGAGCCCTCATGCAAGACACCCGACAGCAGGGACAACAGATGCCCCATCCTTTCTGTGTCTAGTGAAAATCCAGGGCCTTCTGACAACTTGAATCTCAACATTACTAAGAAGTCAAGGATGAACAAGGCCTTAGCAAGTTTCAGATGAGCTGGAGAGATGGTCTGGAGCTAAGGGCCAAGGCCGGGAGAGGCAGAGAGGCCAGGCCCAGCTACGTGCTGTAAGGGGCTGGGCTGCACTAGCAGGTCCGAGGCCACCCACGCCGGAGACCTGGCTTCTCGCAGTGCGTGCCTTTGGGCGCCCTCTCCCGTACCGTACCGTCTGCGGTGACCCAGCGGGCGTTGCGGGGCCACAGGCTGCCGCTTCCAGCACCCTGGGCATCCCCTCCAGGGGCATGTGGGGCCGAGGCCTGGAGGGCGGAGCACTGAGGGATTTCAGCCCCAGGTGGGCACCCAGCACAGGTCAGACCTGGGGCCCCGCAGAGGCCCACCACCTCTGCCCCTGCGCCACCTGTCACCAGAACAAGGGCACATCCAACTGGGGTTGTTTATACTGTTTTTGCAACTTTTCTGTAGGTTTTAAATTGTTTTTAAAACTTCCTCCCCAAAAAGAAAATAAAAATGGTGGTTGGTGGGGGGAGTGTGGGTGTGGGGAAGGAGGTCAGGGAGCAAAGATGAAGAAGTGGACATGACCGTGAGGGTCTTTAATCCCCTTCCATCCCTCCTCCCAGAGGAGTCTGCAAGTCCAGTCTGGGCACGTCAAGCCCTGCTCAGTCGGTGCCAGCTGCTGCTCTGGCCAGACTCCTGCAAGGCCTCTGGGGTCCTGGGACTGCACGTGCCCTCCTCCTCTACTCACCTCCCGCCACCCTTCGCCACCCCCACCGACTCCTTGCTGCAGCCGCCACAAACTGGGCCTGTCCATGCCCCACCCCACCATGCCCCGCCTCCAGAAGCACACAGCATCTGTGACCTAACAGCCAATCTCCTGGGCCCATCCAGCTCCCAGCACCGTCTAGGGTGGTTTGTCTGGAATGAGCTCCAGGTTTCACCTCACGGCCCCAGAGCTGGAGCAGACCTGCTGGGGCCCTGGTAGTGGGGAGGAGGCCTGGGCAGTACACCTTGTCAGGGCACAGCTAAGGCCCAGCCCTGCCCAGGTGATGAACTCGCTCACTCACAAAGTGCCTCAGGGCCCTGGTGCCTCCCTAACCCCAGTTCCAGCCCCAGGGCAACCCACCTGAAGTTTCCAGAGGAAGTCGAGGCGGGCGGTGGACTCCACCTGCTGGGCGTGCAGGTACAGGGCCAGCACAAAGACTGAGATGATGATGGGTGTCACTACCTTCAGCGCCACCTTAGTCGCGTGCTCAGGGCTGCAGGTGGGAGGTAGATGCCCTTGCACCTCATGGGAGGCCTTTCTTTCCCTCCCACTGCAGCTTCCCCTTCTCACCTCCAGCTCAAGCTTTGCCTGAGGTGTGCCTCCTATAGGAAGCCTTCTTGGCTGGCAGCCCCACCTCAGTCCCTGCTCACACCTGCAGCTCAGCAGCCATTAACCCCTCTCCTTATGCCTCATCTCCCACATCACTGGGGTAATGTCCTTCTGGTACATCAGTGGGTGAATGAGGCCCTTGTGAAAGGCAGCATGTACATCACAGGTCTTTCTCAGTGGATGAAACGGGCCCTGGGTGCAGTAACTAACAAGGGAGCCAGACAGGCCATACTGTCTCTGGGCAACCTTTAGCAAGGGTCTTAACCTCTCTGAATTACAGTTTCCTAATCTATAAAATGGGGTAAGAATACCTACATTTCAAGATTGTGCTAAGAATTAAAGATACTGTCTACAGAATTCCTTGCATGGTACCTGACACAGTAGGAACCCCAAAGCTGGCAGTCCTATTGTCTCATATGTTCCTGTTAACATTATTGATAAATACTCTTTAAGAGAAGCAGCTGTGCCAGCCCCTGCTCCGTCCCAACAAAGAGCCCTTCCATGGGCCACAGTGCCCACTCTGCAGCTGCAGCCCCAGCTCAGGGCCTTGCTGGGGAGCCTCCTCTCCCCCCGCAGAGGTGGGCACCAGCCCCTGTTCTCCTATGCCTGGGGGCTCGTAGGAGCTAAAGGCTCTAAGTCTTTGTGTCTGTAGATCATCTTGGCATGGTGTGGATCGTTAAAGAAGAGCATCTGCCCCATGCGGCCTCCTTCGTACCGAGGAAGGGAAGGCCTCCCTCACGGCCCACCTTGCCCTCCCTCCCACCTGGGCCCTGCTGCCTTCTCTGGCAGGCCCTGGGCTGCAGGCCTCTGGCTGCTCCGTGCCAAGGACGGGGGAACTGAATCAGAGAACTCAGAGTCAACTCACCACTGGGAGGTCCCGTTGTTGTTGAAGTCTCTGTGAACAGGAGTTGGGAGGGCTGTTCAGGACTACCGTTCTACATCGGCAGCCTCCAGGCCTCCTCTGCCCCCCACCCTGCTCTGTGCTCCCCCATTCTGCTCTGCCCTCAGCACCCTGCTCTGCCCCACTATGCTGTGCCACCCTGCTCTGCTCCCTGACCCGACTGTCCCCCATCCTGCTCTATACCCCCCCACCCTGCTCTGCTCCCCCACCCCCAGCTCTGCTGCCCCATGACTGCTGCTCGTTTACCCCCAGCACTCCTCCGGATGCAAGGATACTTTCAGGATGGGACGCTTGCAGGAAGCCCAGCCCCAGCTAGCATCTGCCACAGTCACCCAGCGCCTGCCTGAGACCTGGGCCCCACCTCTCAGCACATCACACGGGTGGAAGCCTGCCCGTCTCTCTCACCCCAGCCCTTTGCTGCATCCAGAGGAGAAGCACTACACTTGCGTTGTCCAGGCTGGTAGCCAGTGACCACATGTGGCTCCTGAGCCTTAAAATGTGGCTAGTGCAAGTTAAAACATCCTATAAGTGTAAACATACACTAGGTTTTGAAGAATTAGTGTGGGAAACATGTGAAATATTTCATTAGTAATTATATATTGGCTACATATTAAAATAATATTTTAATATATCGGTTAAATAAAGATATTAAAATTAAATGCATGTTTTGCCTTTTGAATATAGCTACTAGAAAAGTTTAAATCACATATGTGGTTTGTACTATTTCTCTATTGGACAGCTGCTCCAAGCCACGCCAGCGTCTCCCAACCTGAAAATGGCCTCCACTCTCGGCTGCTACTTCAGCAGGACAGGAAAAGCTGCACGTGGCAGGGGAACAGGTGGCAAAGCCCAGATGCACGGTCTGACCCATGACAGCCTGACTGGCCACTGGAAAGGCCCAGGCCTCCTTCCTCCCCTGTGCTCACAGGCCTGCAGCCTGTACCGCCCCCAGGGCTACTGTATTTCTCTGTCACCCGCCCACAGCTCCACAGTTGCTCAGAAGTTCCACCTGAATCTGAGAGCCTTCATTACACCTTCCTTGTCTCAGGTAACACTCTCTTCACAAAAAAGTAGCATTTCTGACACTGGCTTTGCTGTGTGATCTATCCATGACTGTATTTCCACTGCCCAGCTCAAAGCCTGGGACGTGGTAGGCCCTCAATAAATATTTTTGAATGAATGCATAGATGGATGAAAGGATCCCCTTCCTCTAACTCAGAGAAAGCAGTTTGCTGCATTTTCTCAGGGGACCCAGACCTGTCACTCATATTTTTTGCAGTTCCTGGTATGTGTTTGCTGGGGGTGGGGCGGGGATGGTGACGGGAAGAAAAGGGGCGCTACACACCAGGCACCTACTATGGGTATTGTTATTCCCATTTTACTGGGGGGAAAAAAAATGAGGTTCAGGGAAAATAGCCAGATGTGCATCTGAGGCTGAGATTCAAACTCAATTCAACCCAAAGCCAGAGCTCCCTCTGCTCAAGGAGCCACCTCCCTTGGAAATCTGTCATCTTGCTATGTGACCAGGCTGACTGCCAGCTGGATAGCCTGGAGCACAACTCCCACGCCTGCCACCTCCTGGCTGTGGGACTTAACTGCTCACCATCACAGCAGGGGGCCTCCGAGCAGTGCGCAATCTACCCCACTGTCTGTGGCGGTCCTGCCTACTTTGCTTTGCTGGGTTGCTGTGAGGGTGAAAAGGGATAAGGCATGTCCAGGTGCCTGGCTCAAGGTGCGACTCAGAGCCCACGAACAACCAAGGCTTTTGCTCGGCTCCCACAGACCTTACTATCCAGCTCTCTGGAACCTTGACCCCTCTGGGTCTGAGGTGCCACAGGCATCTAGAGAAGATGAAATAACTCATCAGAGGCTGCCCTGGACAAGTGAGGAACAACTCAGTGAGGCCTGAGGTCAGGACTGAGTAGGAAACTGAAGGCAGCAGGACAGTGGGGCATTGTCACCCTAAGGCCACCCCAGAGAGGAAAAAAAAAGACATGGGTGCTTTACCAGGTGCTCAGAGTGAGGGAGCAACAGGACTCTCCCCTTACAAGGCCCCTGTAGCCCAGGACCCCAGCCTCCAGCTCTTCCTACCGCCCTGCAATGCCCAGACCCAGTGGGGGGCATGAGGGGAGGGCCACCTACATGGCATTGGCGGTGACCAGCAGGTCAGCATTGTCAAAGAGCGTGACACCGGGCACCTCGACGATGAGCACGTATACGAGCTCGATGGCCAGCATGAGCACCAGCTTCCCAATGCAGCTGATCTGCAGGAACACGGAGCAGGCCAGCAGGCTGAGCAGCACGCTGTAGGTGAAGTACTGCGGAGAGAGGGCGGTGGGCTTCAGCACCCTGGGCCCCGCCTGCCCCCGCCTGCCCCCCGCATCCCTCCAGCCTGAAGCAGCCTCAGATGAAGCCGGGGCCGGGAATGCTTCTGCTGATGTGAACTTGTGCTGTAACACGAAGGGCCCTGGTTAGGAACCAGGAGATGGGGCTCCGGGCTGAGTTTGGCCAGTACAGGCAGGAGAGCCCCATGGGTAGAGCAGGGCTCCAGGCTCAGGCAGACTGGAGTTTCATTCCTGATCCTTTAAGGATTGTTTGTGTGACTTGGGCCATGTATCCAACCTTTCTAAACCTCAGTTTTCCCATCTGCAAAACCTTCTATCTCATGGTTCACCGCGACTATTACTCAAGATGAAGCCGCTCGGCACAGGGCCTCGTGCTCTTATGCCTGTGGGGGGCAAGGCCCCAGCCCCTGAAGAACTGTAACTTTAAATCCAAAGTTCTGAAAATTGAAAGTATTTTCGTGAAAGATATGGTGACAACACCTGAATTGACCTTATTTGGTGGCAAAACCTGACCCAAATGACGTGAGGTGATTGTCATCTTTATCCTGCTTCCTGTGACTATTCATACACTTTGCTGCAGAAATATTAGTGCTTCATATCAGGTGCTGCTCAGGCTCACTGGGGGTGTGAGATGATCTTTTGAAACCTGAGAAATTCCCAAGTCCAAAATATATCTGTCCTGGAAGATTTCAGATGAGGGACTGAGGCCCTGTGCAGTTTACTTTTGGGGAGTCCTTTCTAACCTCTGAGCCTTAGTTACTTTCTTAGACAAGTGAGGGTCAGAACCAGGTGTTCTCAGTGGTCCGCTTCTGTTCTATTGTCCCCTGACACTAATCTAGGCACATCAGCATCTACTGTTTTGTTCTTTTTCTGTTGTTTTCTTTTAAATTTAGCATCACTACTTCTGAGTCAGGCATCGGGACTCACTGCCTCTGTCTTGGGCTGAGGGCCAAATAGTCCCCGGTTTGGACCTTCTGCCTCCCAGGCTTCAGAAACCCAGAGAGGGACAGCAGAGGCCCCCAGTGATTGGAATGGGGAGAACCAGCCTCAGGTCAGCACCTGGCACGGGGGCCAGAGAAGAAGGGAGGGAGGGCACACCGAGATGACTCAGCACCAAGGATAATAATACCATCCACAAGCCAGCCTGGATTCCCATTCAGACCCTGGGTCCAGACAACCAGGAGGCCAAAGCTTAATGCTGGGGCTCCCCAAGGCCTTCGGGGTCAGAACAACACTTGGAGGTTGAGGCGGGGTCAGCCCAAGAGCTCTATAGCCTGTGGGCTTGGGGTCAGCGGGCCTGAAACTGGTCTGGCTTGCAAGGGCTGCAGTCTGGGATCAAGCACTTCTCCCAGACAAGGAGCTCAGACAGGCCCTGTTGCCACTGCCCTGTCCCCTGCTCCTCTGCTGCTTCTGCGGAGCAGCCACCAAGGGGCAGGCACAGGACCGAAAACAGCCTCTGCTTCTCAGCACCCAGCCCTCAGGCTGCAGCTCCTGTGGCCTGTCCACCCGCTGTGAGAGGGGAGGGTGGGTGCCTGCCCAGGCCGTCCGTGGAGCACAGCCGCCTGAAGGAGAGGGACAGCCTGGCCTGTGCCCAGGCACAGGTGTGGGAGAGCCCTGCCAGGCGGGCATCGGGGAGCCCATCCCCCACAGAGTGCCCCTTGCTCATCTGCACAGGGGCGGCGCACCAGGCTCCTGCCCAGGGAGGGGGGCCCGGCATGGCAGTCCTCAGGGCCCTCCCTGCCACTCTGCACCCCTGCCGTGGGTCCTGGGCCTTTGGGGAACTGGATGGAGCTTGGACCCTCTCCCCAGAAAAGAGCCTAAACTGCTGTCCTCTTACAGGCTTTCTGGGACCCCCTCACAGGGAGCTGGGTGCAGCAATCACCCAGGGCCTGGGGTGGCCGCCCTGGGCTGGAAGCCTGGCCCTCCTGCTCACTCGAAAACTGCTCCCCAAGGAAATGCAGCAAGGTGAATGGAGTGCCCGCACACCCTAAGTGCCTGATGCGTGCCGCTCTGCAGGGGCTCTTGGCGCTACTGATTAAACCCAGTAACATGCAGGTACACGGTTTCTTTGGGCAGGGATGAAAGTTCTCCACGGTGAGATCAGGATGACGGCTGCACATGCTGGTGACTACACCAAATGCCACCAAATCGTACACCTGAAAGGGGTACACTTGAAGGTGGTACTTCAGTGGTTTGGGCTTGGGTTCCCTTTGCTCCCCTCCCTGTTCTCTGAAGCAGCAGGGGCTCAGACAGCTGCTCCTGAGGCACTGTGTGCCTGCCGCGAAAGCTGGCCATGCAGGAACAGGTTAAGAGTATGAACTCTGGAGCCAGATGACCTGGGTGGGAGCTCTGGCTCTGCTACTTACTAACTGTGTGACCTTGGGCAAGTTACTTAACCTCTCCATATCTCTGCTTCATCTGTGTAGAGGAGATAATAACAGTGTCTATGTCATAGCACTGTGGTGAGGATTCAATGAGTAAATGTACATAGAGCAGTTTAGCACAGCTCCAGGTACATGGCTAAGTATGATATGAACAACAGCTCTGCTATTATTACGTTGCTGTTACACTGAGGGGGCTGGTTGTGTCCACTGGTGTCTGGCACATGGCGTGAGAGAGACTGGGGAAAGGAGGTCTCCAGAAGGGCAGCGAGCCCGAGGGCCCTACCATGCCTCAGGGCAGCCAAGGGCAGAGATGGGGAGGGGTGGGAGGTCTCCCTCTGCATCCAGCCCCTTCTGCCCAGTACCTCGGGGAAGCTGCAGTTGGGCCAGGAGCTGCTGCAGAAGCCCCGCTCAGCACCCAGGCTGTAGTTGGCGGCCGACTCCACCACGTGGCACGCATTGACGTGGCTGGCACTGATGTTGTGCTCCTCCGCCAGGCAGCCGAACAGGTCATTGGAGTTGCACATGAACTGGGGGTAGGGGAGGAGAGGTCAGCCCCCGGGGGCCAGGCCAGCGCAGCCCATCTCCACGGGGCAGCAGGTGCCCGTCCACCCTGTCTCAGGGGTGGCTTGACACTGACCTGGGGCAGAAGAGGAGTCTGGAAGAAGCTGAGGAGCAGGCAGGGCTTGCCCAGCTGCCCAGGGTGGGGCTTGGAAATCTCCCTTAGAGGCCTCCCCACATCCTTCTGGTTCCTCAGCCTTAACAGTGAGGAACTAAAGCCTGTGTGAAAGGCTCTAGGGGTCAAATTTGATTCCAGACCCAAGGTGAGACCCATGTTAAGAATTTCCAGAGAGGGATAACTCCAGGGCCTGGGGGCAAATTCTTTGTCCAGCCTGTGCATGTGGGGTACAGGGCTCCAGCGGGCTGCACCGCGGGAGGCTGGGGAGGCAGAGCCACCCACCATGTTGACAAAAGCTGACAGGAACACCAGGGTGATAGTGAGCACCCCGACCAGGGTGCTGTTCATCCTGGACCGCACGATCTTCCTGGAGAGCATCTGCAGTGGGGCTGGGAAGAGCTGGCCGGGGTGGCGGGTGGAGAGAGGGAACAGAATTCAGTGTGGACTCCACAAACTGCCACACAGGAGCTCAGTGGACCACCAGCCCTCCCCTCCTCAGTGTCTTCCGCCAGCATAACCCCAGGGCCTTCCAGAAAGCCTCCCCAGTGGGTAAGCCCCCCATGCCCTGCAGCACTGCACCGTTGCTTCTGGGCAGTAGCACAGCCTGGCCGCTGGCCAGGAGTGGGTCTCCCTGGGGAGCTCGCAGGTGAGGGAGGCAGGATGAAGGAAAGATGCTATCTTGACCCCAACAGGCAAGCAGAAGAAAAGGCACATGTCCCAGCTGTGTGACTTCTTGGCCACTTGGGGTTACAATCAGGGAGGGCCAGCTGAGGAGTCATGGAGGGGCCCAGAATTTTCTACTTCTTCTTGGAAGAAGTAGGGAGCTGTGGGTCTGAGGATTCAGAGAGGACCTAGAGTCTGGAAGAAGGGGATGGGCTAGGGAGGAGGGGGCAGAGCGCATGTGAGCAGGAGGGTGGGACCCTGGACAAGTGAATTACCTGAGCCTTTTTCAGCAGGATGCTCATGGACCTGCCATTTCTCTCACTTAACCCTCCCTGTATTCCCTTCAACTAGACAAACCATATGTTCATTCAAAGAAATGAACACTGCAGTCTTGATAATTAAATAACCAGTCTCCCCCAAATCTGCCACAGTTGGCCTCCATGTCTTCCTCATCTCCAAAGAACCTAAACTACAAAAGATGTTGGCAGACCCGGAAAAGCAAAATGTGGATGCGATCCCCCCACTGCCCAACCCACCTCAGCACCTCCTGGTGAGGCTGATCTGCTACAAACCTGCCAGGTGTCTGGAAACCCTTAAGGTCAGAGGAGGGGCCTAGAAAAAGCATTGGACCAGGAGTCCAGAGACCAGGGTTCTAGGTGTGGCTTTTTCCTATGTGACCCTGAACAAGTCACATCCCGTCTCTGAAGGCTTCCCAACTGTAGGGCTCTTGGGTCCCTGAATGTCCCCGTGCATTCCAGCTGAGGGTGCCAGACTGCAAGGTTTATCCATCCTCTGATGCTGAGAGTTTCTGTACCTGGTCACACAGACAACTAAGTAGGCGAGGGGACACAGTGTGACCACTGTGTGACTGCTCACTCCCCAGCATGGAGGGGACTTGCTTGTACGCTACAATGTTTACTGCTAGCAAGTGCTAGGCCCCAAACTCACTACACACAGGGTGTCCATGTGGACCTGTCACATCACCTCCATGGGACCTTAGGGGACCAACACAAATGTGCCAATGCTCATGCTGATTTCTGTGCTGTAATAAAGTCATTCATCTCTGACCCAGGAGTCTCATGTCTTCTGCCAGCATCCATGAAAGAGCAACAAGCTAACTTAATTAACTTGTAAGTAGGGTGAGACCAAATCGCAAACCTTTCAGAGTTCTTGACACCAAGTAGTGCCCTGCCCACCCCTTGGTCTTGGGCTTTGCGCTGAGTCTGTGTGTAGGGAAGCAGTTCATCTTTTCCATTCCAAATCTTCCTCCACCCTTTCAACAAGCCCACTCTGTATTCAGCAGAGGGAAGGACAGACCACAGGAATGACTATAGAGGCTTGGCAGCCATTCAGGCTATTGTCAGAGAGGTAAAGATCTCGGACTCCATGTACTCAGGGTTCCCCCCAGGTGTGTTCATGTATCACCAAGTCTGTCTCAATAAGACACTTTCTTCTGAGGTAATAAAGGGGACATTCTGGCTGAACCTACTTATGTGGTAGAAGGAAAGCTATGTGAGATTTGGAGAGCATAAGCTTGAGTTAAAAATCCTGCTTAAGAGACAGAGATCAATGGAATAGGGAGTCCAGAATTTAACAGCTACTTTTACAATTGATTGATTTTGACAAGGTTGACAAGAAAATTCAGTGGGGGAAAGAATAATCTTTTCAATAAACAGTGCTAAGAAAATTGGATAACCACATGCAAAAGAATGAAGTTGGGCTCCTATCTCACAGCATATACAAAAATTATATGGATAGAAATGGTCTCTAAATGGATTAGAAGCCTAAATGTAAGAGCTTAAATTTTAAAACTTGGAAGAATATATGCATGGAAATCTTTGTGACTTCACATTAAGTACTGGTTTCTTAGCTATGACACCAAAAGCACAAGCAAAAAAGAATGTACAGATAAGCTGGATTTCATCAAAATTTAAAAATTTTGTGGTTCAAATAACACCATCAAGAAAGTTTAAAAAGGTGTTGGTGAGGATATGGATAAACTGGAACCTTTGTACAGCTCTGGTGGGCATATAAAATGATGCAGCTGCTGCAGAAAACAGTATGATGGTTCCTCAAAAAATTAAACATAGAATTACCACATGATTCAGCAATTCCACCTCTGGGAATATATCCAAAAGAGTAGAAAGCAGGGGCTTCTACAGATATTTGTACACTCATGTGCACAACAGCATTGTTCACAATAGTTTAACAGTGGAAGCAACCCAAATGTCCATCCATGGATGAATGGATAAACAAAACATGGCATAGACATACAGTAGAATATTAGTCAGTCTTCAAAAGAAATGAAATTCTGATGCTTGCTACAACATGAAGTGACATTCTAGAGACATTATGCTAAGTGAAAGAAGTCAGTCACAAAAGAACAATACATTATGATTCCACTTCTGTGAGGTATCTAGAGTAATTAAATTCATAGAGACAAAGTAGAATGGTGGTTGCTGAGCAAGAGCAGAATGCGGAGTTATTGTCTGATGGGTATAAGGTTTCAGGTGAATGGTAGTCATGGTTACACAACAATGAGAATGTACTTTATGCCACTGAACACTGAAAAATAGTTAAAATGGAAATTCATTGTATGTATATTTTACCACAATAAAAATTATATTTAAAAAAAGAAAATGAAAAGACAACCCACAGAATGGAGAAAATTGTTGCCAACTCTTTATCTAACAGGAGTCTTGTCACCAGAACATAGTAGTTCCCCCCCTTTTCTGTACATGATATATCCCCAAGCCCCCAGTGGGTGCCTAAAATTGCAGATAGTACCAAACCCTAATATACTATACTTTTTCCTAAACATAATTATCTATGATAAAGTTTAACTTTTAAGTTAGGCACAGAAAGAGATTAACAATAACTCAAATAAGACAGAACAATGGTAACAATATACTACAATAAAAGTTATGTCAATGTGGTCTCTCTCTCTCTCACACAAAGTATCTTATTGCACTGTCTTCACCCTTCTTATGAAGATGATGGAAGATGATAAAATGCCTATATGATGAGATGAAGTGAAGGGAGTGATATAGGCATTATGACATAGTGTTAGGCTGTTACTGGCCTCTGACGGTATAATCAGAAGGAGGATCATCTGCTTCGTGATGTTGGCTGACTGCTGGTGACTGAAACCATGTAAAGCCAAACTGGATAAAAGGGGGCTACTGTATACAAAGAACTCTTATAATTCAACAACAAGGCAGATCACACAATTAAAAAATGGGAAAATGATTTGAATAGACATTTCTCCAAAGAATCTACCCAAATGGCCATTAAGCACACAAAAAGATGTTTGACATCATTAGTCATTAGGGAAATATAAATCAAAAACAGGAAATGCCACTTCATACCCACTAGGATGACTCTAATAAAAAAGTCAGATAATAACAAGTATTGGTGAGGATGTAGAGAAATCAGAAACCTCATACATTCCTACTGGGAATGTAAAATAGTGCAGCTGCTTCAGAAATCAGTTTGGCAGTTCTTAAAATGTTAAGCACATAGTTACCATATGACCCAACTATTGTATTCCTAGATATATACTCAAGGGAATTGAAAACTTAAGTCCAAGTAAAAACTTGTGCACAAATGTTCATAGCAGCATTATTCACAATAATCTGAAAGTGGAAACTGCCCAGCTGTCCATCAGTCAATGAATGGATAAACAAAATGTGGTATATCCACACAATGCAATATTATTTGGCCTTAAAAAGGAATGAAGTGCTATTTCATTTACAATATGGATGAACCTATGCTAAGTGAAAGAAGCTAATCTCAACAGCCACTTACTGTATGATGCCATTAATACAAAATGACCAGAACAGGCAAATTCAGAGACAAAAAGCAGATTAGAGGTCACCAGGGCTGGGGCAAGCAGAGAATGAGCAATGACTGCTAATGGGGTTTCTTCTTGGGATGCTGGCAATGTTCTGGAACAGTTGCACAGCTTTATGAATATGCAAAAAACTACTGAATTACAACATCATCCACCTTTATAAAAGTGAATTTTATGGTATGTGGATTGTATCTCAAGAAAGTGCTTATTAAAAAGTCCTGTTCAGCCTTTAAAAAACCTGTCCCTGGGCCCAGGCCAGGCCCTCCCCCTCCCTCAGGATCAGTGTGATCCTGGGGAAGTATTCAACGGCTTTGAGCCTCAGTTTCCTCATTGGTAAATAAGGAATATTTATCTTTCAGGGTGGATATGAAGACTCAGTTACATCATGCATTTACAAGTGCTTTTGTAAGCTGTTAAATTCAGTAGAAAATTTAGTTAATATCTGTATTTTTAAAGGGTCGCATTGCCAACAAGTATGAAAGTCCTTGATTCCTATTAAAGGAATTTTTTGTTTCACAGCTGGAGAAAGTGTTTTGGCACTAGCCTGAGGATCTCACTCTGAAATCGTATGACAGATGGTTTTTAATCTTTGCCTTTGGCAAAATTTTTAAATTTGTCCATTTTATCCCCCACTTCCCGCCCTGCCTTGTTGCTTAAATTGTTCCAGTTCTGAGCACCCTATCCATCAATTGACAGGCTTCTTGTATCATTTTGCAATCACCAGGGAAATGACTGATTTAGGTAAAGGTCACTAGTAGATGCTAAATCCTTTATAGAAAGCGGTTGGGGAACAGGATGTGCACACAGCTTCCTGGTGACTGTGGGACCAGTAGCTCCACAGGGGCCACCCAGAGGCCAGGAGAAGAACTGCAGGCTTAAAAAAAATCTGAAGTGTAGTTCTAACATGTAATGAATGATTGACTTTTAATGCACTGGCTTGCTACAAGCCAGTTTCCCTTGTCATCCTTTACAAAGACCTGCTCTTGACTTTAAAGCCTCAGTAGGAACCCAGGAATTGTTGCTTTTTTGAAGTCTCCAGATTTGACATCCTGCCTTGGCACTAGTTTACAGAGTATCTCATCTCCAGTAATTGAAAAGTTTATCTGTGTTGACTGTAATTCACACCTTTACTAATCCCAGTGTGGATGACAAAACTCTTCACCTAGGGCAAAGTCACCTCTCGAGGCTGCACCGGATCTGCTTGCAGATCCCAGGGGGCATTTTTTTATGGCAGGGTAACTGTGTCTATGCACATCAATTACTCAGTGCCTGCTTACAGTCAGAACTCAGAAAAAGAATTGATTTTTAAAAAAAGCCAACCCAGTACATTCCCAGTCTGATTAATTCAAATCAATTCAACATGAAAAACAGGAGTGGGGACATAATTAATAAACCATGACCAGCACAAGGGACAGTTTTGATTTTGGCCTCTGTCTCCAGGCACATCAATAACCTCCCAGGGGCTCTGGCTCCCAGTCTGTGATGTGGGGCCAAGATATTGCAGAGATTAAAGATGGGGTTGAAATCCAATGGGGAACAGTTTAAGAAAACAGCCTTTTTGGCAAAGAGCTAATAAAAAAAAAATCCAGTAGTTCCTACTTCAGAAAAAAAATTTTAAAGATATGAAAGCTTCGGAGGCCAAACAAAGTAGGCAGATGCTGGCCAGGCTGCACACCACTGCTCCTGTCAGCTGGCCTTTCACTGTGACAAAGGCAGGTCCTGAAGAGGAAGGACTGTGGGCTCTGGAGTCAAGAGCCACCTGGGCTTAAATCCCAGCTCTACCACTTCCAGCTGTGGGACCTCAGGACAGCTCCTAACCTCTCTGAGCCTCATTTTCCTCATCAGCAATGTGGATGTAATAAAAGCCACATTAGAGTCTCAGGAAACACAACTCAAAGTGACACACCGGGAGCGGACCCCAAACTGCCTGACTCAAAGTCCATGGACAGGACCTGAAAGATGCCTCCCAGGAGGGAGAATTCTCCAGCCCCGGGTGAGCACATCCTCTCCCTCACAGACACAACATGCCCCTGAGCACGCGGGAAGGTGAGTGTGGGAATCCTAAAGTCCCCACAGGAGAGAAGATGTGAAGAAGGGAGAGGAGGTGGGGGTGCTGGTGATGAGACCCTATTCTAGACCCTGGAGAGGTAGGAAGGAGAGACGGTGAGGCGGGATTTAGCTGCACTCATGCTGTGGGAGAGGGGGATGCTCTCTGGCAAATGCACCGGAAGCTCTGGCCACAGTTTCCAGGAGCTCAAGACAGTCAGGTCCATGGGGCCAGTGGGATGCAAGCTAAAGGGGAGCCAGCAGCCTGGAGGATGAAGGAGGTTTAAACACCCATGTGTGCACATGCCCACACATGCCCACACTCTGTGTAGCTGAGTACTCTTTCTGGGCCCATCTATACCCAGGTCCCAAACCGCAGGAAGGGAGTCTGGCCTTCTGAGTAAGGATGTGCCAACAGTCAAGTCAAGACAGAGCAGGGGGAGGGAGGGAGCCCCTCTTCTACCTGTCTGGGCAGTGGAGGCAGCAGTGTCCATACTGTCAGGGGTAGGCCTGACCACTCACAGGTGATGGGGCTGAAGCCACAAGGGAGACTGATGGGACATCAGAGGTGGCCACAGAGGGAGGCAGATGCGCTGAGGAGGTGGTGAGCTCGCTGCCCTGTAAGTGGTCAAGCAGAGGCTGGCCCCCTCACACAGCTATCATAAAGGGACTCCGGCCTCAGGTGGGTTTCCCACTGTTCAGGCCATTTACAATCTGAGATTCTCGAGTCTGTGGACCACATGTGATAGCAAGGAGGGATTTAGCATGTTTTTCTTTAAGAAAAGCTGCTCTGGAGCCCAAGTCAGCACTGATACCAAGGGAAGGGATGGGTGGTATGAGCAGATGTCCAGACTGGCCCTCTAAGCAACTCCAGGAGGGTGCTCAGGGGACCGTCATAGGACAAGGCAAACCAGAAACAGTGGACACTCTGAGACTTTGGGACAGGATGAAGCGCAAGGCACCAGGTTAGCCTCCCTGAGAAAGCCACGTGTGCCTGGGGGCTGAACCAAGCCATGTCCGGAAGTGATGACAAGGCCCAGGGTGAAGGCAATCAGAGCACTTGTTGGGTGGGAAGTTTGGAAAAACCTCGTGACAGGCAGGCCCTGGGACTCTGCCTGACAGACAGCGAAGACAACCTCGTCAGCTGATGCAGTCTGCTCTTCTTGACGTTTCTCTTCAAAAAGGTCAGGACACGGACATTTTTAAGAAAGTAAGTCCAAGCTGTTCTGAAGAAATGGAAGAGTAAAGAAACAGAGACAGAAGCCCTGGCTGGCAGAACAGCCTGGTTTTGGAGCCCACACCGTGCGTGGCAAAGGAACTGTCGTGTCTCATCAGAAAGCCACAGCCGTGACTTCTGGGAAGCGGTGGAACTAAGATGAAAAATGAGTTCTGGTAAAGGGCAAAGGTTTTCAAAGGGGAAACAGAATGACACAGAAAATTCCAGTCCGTCAGCTTCATGGCAATACCTGGAAAGGTGATAAAGTCAACTTTTAGTCCTTCTACCTGCAGGCAGCATGGGACGGTGATCAGTGATGGGCCCTTGTCCCCATTCGGCAAGGGGAGGGCTAGTCTGCCCTGCTGCATCGGCGCCAAAAGGGAGAATCGCCCCTTTCACATTTTTATATGCTCACAGTCACCCCACCACAGGGAAGAAAAGAAGAAGGAAATCAAGGAGAGTTCATACTACAAACAACTTCTCAGGCTGGATACCCAGGAAGTGGATAAATGCTGGGAAGATGGCTATTAGAGGCTGGGAGTGGGGAGGCAGCAGGGACCTCAGGGCAGGTATTTGCATCTATTCAGCTCCTGGCCCAGATCAGCAGGTTCCAGATTTGATAAGCCATAAAGCACTTCTTTCCCAAACAAATTCTTTACAGAAGCTCTACATCTGTGAGATGGAGGAAGCAGCCTCCCATGATTGAAGCGTGTGTGTGCGTGCGTGCGTGTGGTGGGGTGGGGTGGGGTACGGAGCAAGGGCAGGGAGGTGGGCATTTCATCTATCAGCGTTCCCCTGTGGGGCCCGTGGCCTCCTCAGAACTATCAGAAAAATTACTGGGTTGGATAAAGGAATTGAGAACACACTCATTGAATGACATTGATAACGATTCAATAAAACACAAGGAGGCAGGAATGATTTTCATAAATAATCTTGAACATAGGGAAAAAGAGTTCACTAGATCAAAGTACTAACTAACTCACAATGGCCAGTGCAGGCAGGCAGGTGGGCTGTCCCCCCTCTTCTTCTCCCTGCGGACCAGATACATGCGAAAATCAGGGAACAAGTGAAATCAGGAAAGCTCAGACTTAACCAGAGCCACTAACAGAAATCTGTTCTCATTTTAAAATTGTAGATGACATACAGCTTTGTTTCTGATTTGAATAAGCTAATGAAATACCTCAAATGAACAACCAATGATTTTGCCTCAGTTTATTACTTAAAAAGAGGAAAGATTCTTTCTGGGTTTCTGCAACAGAACATTTACGAGGCCCTTTTAGCCATGGTGTGTTTTTTCTCTAGGCTGTTGTGACTTCTTTTATTGCAGTAAAATATTCGTAACGAAGTTGCCATTTTCACCCATTTTAAAGTGTCCAATTTAAACTGGCATTAATTACAACATTCACATGTGGTGCAGCCATCACTGCTATTTCCAAAACCCTCTGATCATCCCCAACAGAAACGCTGTGCCCATTAAGCAATAACTCCCCATTCTCCCTTTGTCTGCCCTTGGTGCCCTCTTGTCTGCTTCCTGTCTATGAGTTTGCCTCTTCTAGATATTTCATGTAAGTGGAATCATACAATATATGCCCTTTTGTGTCTGGCTTCTTTCACTTGCCATAATGTTTAAGGTTCATCCATATGTGTTCACCCACATAGCATGTGTTGGAACTTCATTCCTTTTTATGGATAGACAATATTCCATTGTATGGACAGACGTTTGTTCATCCACGCGTCTGTTGATGGACACGCAGATTGTTTCCACTTTCTGTCTGTTGTGAATAAACGGTGTGATTTTGTAGCCATGAGATACAGAAAGTGAAACTGCCCACTGGGGGCCACGGTGGGTGGTGTCTTGACAAGCAAGATGGAAAGGCAGGAGGCAAATGAACACAGAGCCTTGGGAAGGAGCTGGTGCCGATGCAGGGAACCAGGATTGAGCCCTATAATGCAGCGAAGCCACTGGCCGAGTACACAGCTCAACTTTCCAACTGACCCTGGCCTGCCTGCCTCTCTCCGGACATTCGCTTCTTTACCTGCTCAGGGGGAGGGCTGGACCACACCAGATAATTCCCAAGGGCTTTTCCAGATCTAACAATCAGTCTATGAAGACCTTGACTCTCAGGTGATTTAACAGGTAACAGCCTAACGAAGGACTCTGTTTGCAGGGCTGAGAAAGAAAGGGAACTGGGAGGTAGCAAAGGTCCAACCCTCTGGAAGGAGAACACAGTGCCCACCACAGAGCGTAGGAAGTAATGGTAGAACCGGCCTCCTGGGGGCTTGGCTCCAGGTGAGCATCAGGGAGTGACAGAGAAATGGCTACAGCAGAGCTGGAGGGCCTGTGCTCGCTGGGCACCGAGTGTGTTCTGGACCAGGATGGCCCCGTCTGGGAATTCTTAAACCACTGGGGAAGGAAATGAGGGAAAGGCTGGGTGAGCAAGGCAAATGGGAACCTGAGTGTCTCCTACAACAGACAAGACTGGCCTGTGGTCAGGTTCCCCTGAAGGACACTGCCTGGAGCGGGGGCACAGCATGCCTAACAAGAGGAGAAGAACACAGACCAGGGTCTCCTGCCCACATGCCAGCTGCATGGTCCTGTCTCAGACACTGAGCCACTCTGGGTCTCCCTGTCATCTGTATGATGGGCAGCTCAAAGCCATCATCTCTACAGTTCCCCATCCCCCACCCCAGGGCCAATTTCAGGGCACATGGGAACTCTGAAGGGGAGGTGAGAAGAGATCTCTTCCACATGCTCTTCCAGCAAATGTTTGCTGACCACTACTGTGCCAGGCATTGTGTTAGGTGCCCTTCCTTCATCCTAACTGATACCAAGAGAAGGGACAGAGGAGTGGCAGCACCATCTTCTTGCAAGGAGTCACAAATGATTAAAATACCCAATATAAATAAGGCCCCAAGGACAAAGGACCCCCACCCGCTGCAGTCCAGCTGCTGCCAGTGCCAGTCAGGAGTTGTGGCCCAGCCTCATGCACCCTGATCCCAAGTGTGACTTCAGGCTCCTGGAGGGGCCCCTCTAAGGGTGGGAAAGGAGGAAAGAGGTGACTGGGGGCTTGGGTGTAAGCTGGACTCACCTTCACACAGGAGTAGATCATGGATACAAATACCACCAAGGTCAGCAGCAGGAAACAGGTCAGGTAGAAACTCAACATGAACACAGAGCTGGAAGGGAAGAGGCAGGGAATTCCAGGGCTCTGAAAGGTCCTGGGAAATAGCAAAGTACCTCCACTTCACCTGAACCCACTGCTCAGTCGTTTTCAGCCCCTGACCCACTGAAAAGGGCTTACACAGCCTTGTGAACAGATTCAGGACCCTCGTCCATAATGGTCTGGCTCCTGCCCTTCCCAACTTTCTGCACCTTTCTGGGGGAGGAGCAGCCCACAGGGGAGCTGAATGGAGAACTGACACTTGCTCAATATTTTGCTTAATTCTTAGCTATCCATAGACTTGCTTCTTTTAGCTTACAAAGACCCATTTTAAAAATCGCCTGGAAATTCCCTCAAGTAGTCACTCATGGCTTGATAATTAAGTGTGGAGGCTGAAAAAGTATTTGATAAATGGCATCATTTACAAAAATGCATCTGTCAGCAGCCCAACCAGACACTTTGGGAAACAGCAATGATGTGTCCCTTTGGAGGGCAGAGCACCTGAACCTTGCCCCCTGCCAGGCCCCGCAACAAAGCCTGCTCAGCTTTGCTCCACTCGTCCTAGCCAGTTCAACAAAAAAATGCAAGGACCTCTCCTGGGCCCTTTTAGAGGCAGATCACAGGGATCTGAACTTTCAACAGAATCAGAGGGCCAGAATCCTCGGACAGAAGCTGGAAGTGACTTTCCATCCAGAACCTCTTGTTAGCCTTCCTGGGCCAGGGGCTGGCAAGGTACAGCACACCCCACCATATTGCAGGAGGCTGCAGAAATTCCTTCTCCCTTTTAGGGACTGAGGGTGGCCTGGAGATGTCAGGTGTCACTAGCAGGTTAAAGACAGGTGGGGGACTCAAGAAGGCAGGTGGACACCTCTAGAGAGGCTTCTTTGTTCCAGGCTCCCCCAGAAGCCAGCAATTGGATATCTTAAACAAATAGACCAAGGGGAGAGAACTCTCTTCAGAGCAAAAGAAAGACCTTTAAAGTAGCTTCTAAGGCTTCCCTAGAGAGAGGACGGCTAGAGAGGGTCTTCGTCAAAGCCTTAGCACTGGAACTGTGGCCAGAGGGAAAGAAGCCGCTGCAGGTAGAGCGGGGGCCTGGGGTAACCCAGCCCCCAGGCCAGGATGCAGAAAAAAAAAAGCAGCACAGACGCAGGATTACGCACCCAAGCTAACTGGACTGTCAGTTGCAAACGGAGACAGAGAGCCTAAATTGTTTACTTAAACCCACAGCTCCATTTCAATACAGAAAAATGGAGTGCTATGCAAATGAGCACCCACAATCCTATGAGCTCTGCACAGCTGCACTGTGGGGGGCAATGGGCATTCGCTGTGTAACCAGAGTGAGCTGGCTGCCTGTGTCTGGTGTTCACCTGTGGTCTCTTGACAGTCACAGCAGATACAAATATAAGGGCCATCTCTGTAACAGTGTCATTAAAAATAAAAGGCACTGAGTAATGGGACATGCTGCCATCAGGTACCTCCTGACATGATGCACTCAGAAGGAAGCAATACCACTTCTGTGGGATTCTTGGCGGAAGTGCACAACTTCAATCTAATTATGAAAAAACATCAGACAAACCCAAATCAAGACATCTGTCAAATTAATTGGTCAGCACACATCAAAAGTGCCAAAGCCACGAAAGACAAGTAAAGGCCCAAGTGTCACAGATTGGACAAGACCAAGAAGATACAGCAGCTTAATGCAGAGTGGGATTGTGGACTGGCTGTTGGGACACAGAAAGGCCACTGGGGGAACACTGATGAAATCAGAACACTGTGTGTAGATTAGTTAATAGTATCATCCCAGTGTTAATGCCCTGCTTTTGAGAACTGTACTGCAGTTATATAAATGGTCAGCATTTTATTTCAAAGTGAAAAACAGAAGGTGTTGAGTGAGAAGACTCTTCTAGATTAGATTAGACTTATAGGACATAACCAAACACAGTCAGTGCATCCTAAGTAGATCATGGCTCTGCATAAACAAAGAGTAGAGGACATTTTGCAGGAAAAAGGGAATTTGAACGTGGACTTGGTTTGAGACGATCATAGAGTACTGGAGTTAATTTTGTTTGATGTATAAGCATTGTTGGTTAATAAGGAAAATGCCCTTAAAGCAGGTGTGCACTGAGGTTTCTTCAGGGGTAAAATGTACTTTTGCCTAAAATTTACTTTAAGAAAAAAATCAGAAAAAATAGATGAAACAAAATTGCAAAATATTAACAATTGTTATATCTAAGGGGTGGGTGTTGACTATATTAATTGCTTTTCTGTATGCTTGAAATATTGCCTAATAAAAAGTAAATATATGCCTATGTATATATATGCATGCACACAGACATTTACACACACACACACACACACACACACACACACACACACGGAACAGTTTTCTTTCTCACCTAGGCATGACCCACTGTGACTGACTATCTGACAAACACTTCCTTTCCAAAAGCCCACCTCGGAGTGGACCCTGGGAAGCCATGGGCCTCTCCCAGGGGCAAGGCCAGGGAAAAGCCTTCAGAACCTGAAATCCGTTCTTTGAAATATCCAGAGTAGCTGAAAACCTTTATCGTTTGAAGATGTATTGATTTTTTTTCACAAGAACCAAAGATCATGCAGAAACAACCCTGGTGAATAGTTTGGGTGATTCAGCGGGCAACCACTGTGTGGTTTAAATGGGGTGAGCTGGTAACGTGGTGGGAAGGAGGCCCGCGTGCAGCCGGGCAGGCCCTGAGAGAAAGCTTCCGCCCTGGAATAAGCACATGGCCTCATCATCAGAGAGGAGTCATCCGCCTTTATAGCTTCCCACCAAGGATGTGTTTGAAAACTTCTCTCCCTGCCTGAGCAAGTTCGGTCCAGATCCTGGCCTCTGCCTCCCTCCCAGCCTTGGAGCTCCGGCAGCCTGAGGAGGCAGCCCAGGGGATGGCGGGGTGTTACTCACTGGGGCACAATGGTGATCTGGACAAAGCAGATGAAGAGGAAGACGAGTGAGGCACACGCCACGTAGGCACCGAGTCGGTCATCCACCTGCTTGGAATACTGGGAGGACACGGGCAGGGTGAGGGCCCTGAGGCGCCGGCACTGTCTGCAACAGCCCCACTCCAGCCCAGCCCCACCGGGCAGCCCATTCCCAAGGCCTGGACACCCAGGACCAGCACCGGCACCAGCTGTCAGAAAGCAGCCCAGAGTGCTGGAGGTGGTGGTGCCCGCGGGCAGTGCGGCGGGCTTGTCAGACCAGAGGCTCTCTGCACGTGCTGGGGCCTACGAGTATCAGGGACACTATTATGGGAACCCCAGGAAGCAGGCACAGGACGCTGTTGTTTCTACTTCAGAGAGAGCAAGCTGGGGCTCAGAGAGGTCACCACTGTCCCAGCTCCCGGTCCAGCTCCTCCCCCAGCTCCTCCCATGACTTGGACCGTGTATAGGCACAGAGGCCCCGGCGCGGCCACCATTGGTCAGCTCCCTTTGCTGCTGGTGAACAGTAAGTGGCCCCTCCATAGGTTTGCCTCCCTTGGAGATGACATGGCTTTATATAAGCCCATTTTCACTGAACCCCAGGGAGACTGCGTGATGTGGAGCAAAAACCCTGGACCAGCGTCTGGCTCCAGCTGTCACCACTTCACTGGGCAGCCTAGGGCAGGTCACTCAACTCCTGAGTTTAGCTTTCTCAGTCACAATTTAAGGAGATGGGACAAAGAGATCTTGACTGCTTTATACTGTGAGGTTCCACTGCATCAACAGCAACTGGGTAGCCCATTGGTAATGAAATATAAGTAATATATAGTAATAATAATAATAAACAAAAATAAAACAAAGAGCAACTAACACTTACTGAACATCTTCTATAATGCAGATACTCTTTTATGTGTTTCCATATGTGGACTTGTTTAATCTTCACTACGATCCTATGAGGTAGGTATGTTAAGTATCCCCATTTCCCAGATAGGGAAACTGAGGCACAAGGAAGTTAAGATGTGTCCCTTTCAACCAAGGAAGTCTCCCTAAAATCTCCTGGGAAGTGCAGCACCAGGGCTGGGGAGCTGAGGGGACAGGGGCTCTTTCCCTGGTGGAGGGGACAGGGATCTGTCCTGTTGCCTCGTCCCCTCCCCGGCCCTGCTTCTGCTGGGGCCTCCTTCCCACCCAGGCAGCTGTACCTTCTTCTCTAAGTCAGGCTCCCTGAAGGTCAAGAGGAACTTGCGGACGTGCTCAGACCGCAGCCTGTCAATGCTCCTGGCGTCAATGGCACGGCCCAGAAACTCGTCCACTTCATCCTCTGGGTTGGCACTTTCCTGGGCATTCCTGGGGAGCAAAGAGGCTCAGATACAAAACAGGCTGACCACTGGGGGGCACTCCTAGAGGGCCTGCCCTGCCATGCCACCCAGACCATTGGAGGGGCCCCACAATCACCCAAGATCAGCACTAGTAGGTGGGCAATCCAGGACTGAGATCAGGACGGCTGAAGCCGAGTTCCATCTCACTGCTCACGTGCACAGAAAACTGCCCGAGTTTCAGCCTGCCGGCCGGAGGGCCTCACTACCAAAATGACTCCGCTGACACACTACTATAGCATGGTAGTAATATGATTTATTATCGAAAGTTTAATTTTTTTCCCTACAAGTAACAGTCTCTGCTCTTCATTCCTCAGCTGTACCATCACCTTGAAATAAAAGCTGATACCTAGAGGCAAGACTTCTGCCACAGGGGGTGAGAACCACCTGGCTGCCTAACCTGGCTCAGGGAGGTCTCTAGGAAGCAGGGTTCATGATTTCTGGGTACTGACCTAAAAACCCTATTTCTCAGGGTGAAGGGAAGTCCTTGAGTGGGATTTCTGATAGTCCCTGAGAACTGGGAAGTGGAGGAGAAGCAGGAGGACATTCCCTCAGGGCACTGGGATGTGGCCAGGTGCTGGCAACCGTGTACAAGGTCTGCATTTCCCTGGGAGCTGCATATGTGTGTGTCTGTGTTGTGCATGCACATGGGCATGTGCAGAGTGTGCACGTACGTGGTTCTGTGTGTGCACATGTATAAGTGTGCAAATGGGCAGTGCCAAGGCCCGGCCTTTCTGCCGGCAAAGGGCTGCCACGCTGCCCTCCTATGAGCAGCAGTGGGCTTTGCTCACTCAGCCAAGACTGTCTGGGCTCATTCCCTGTGCAGCTGGGGAACCTGGGCAGGAGGGCGGATCTGGAGATGTCCCCCAGGCTGAGGGAGCAGGAATAAAGAAGGGCACATTACTCACTTGTCTTTAGGGTCTTCAAAACCCTAAAAGAGAGGGATGGAGAGGAGAGGCGAGTGAGAACACAGAGGCTGAAACGCAGGCTCCCAGCTAGGCCCCAGGGCCATGGCAGCTCATCTCTCTGCAGCTCACCATGGAGCCTGGACAGAGGGGACTGGCCCTCAGGAGTCCCTCCCTTCAGCAGCTACAGCTGGGTTCTTTCCATGGGAAGGCTCTGTGCTTGACGCTGGGGGTGCACTCACTTCATCTCCTAGTAAAATCCACATGTGTAAGTTCTTCCTGTCCCCACACTAAATTCTGTGTTATCTCAAATCTTCCCCCCACTCCTCCCAGACCCTGGGCTTGGTGGGTCCCCTTCCAATTCTGCCATTTCTCAGATGAAAATAAGAGACCGCTCAGCTGATCAGTCCCTACACACAGGCACACATGTGCACACACACTCTCACCCTCCACCACTGAGCACACATAAAATCTCTTGGGAGTTCACAAGTATTGAGCTCAAGAAAATTAAACTCTGGTTGTCTCCAACAATTATTCTGGTATCTGAGAACCTATGTGTTCTTGTAGGGCCAGAGTTGGTTGGGGATCCAGGAGGGGGACCTGCCCGCCCTAGGTTGACTACTGCTCTGACGCTCACATACACAGGGCAGGTGTGACGGTGGGAAGATCCCGTTCTGTCGACAACCTCAAAGCCCTATTCAAAGTTAATCTATAAAGTTCACAAGAGCACAGATGGGTGTCAGGGTCTGACCCACCATGGCACAATGCAGGGAAGAGTCTCTACATGGGAAGAGAGTGGAGTCCAGAAGGCAGGAGAGGAGGTAATAAGCAGCTCTGGACAGGCAGTTTCAGGTAAGCTTGGAACAAGGACAGAGGACCTCTCGTCTCTGCGGCCCAGGGTGGAGCACACTGCGGGGCAAAGGCTGGGTGAACTCCAACTCCAAAAGGACACATCTCTCTTCAATTCCCACTGAGGACATGGTTTGAAAATACAAAAAGCAGGATTTGCGTTGGTGTCCATGAGCCAGAGCCACCTGGCACTGAAATAGATGCCTGGGCCCCGGGGCCCCGAGGTGCTGCCTCTGCTCTCTGCCCTAGCTAAGACCTCCCAGGGGCTTCGCAGCCACCAGGCAGCAGGTTCAAGTCCCAACTTTGGGCTCTGAGCTCCTCCCAAGCTGCCTGGCCTCATCTTCTGGACAAGCCAGGCCCTTCTCCTTGTCCTCTGAGAATTGCCAGGTCTTCCCTCCAGGCTGCAAGACCCGGCCCACTTCATCCCAGCCTCGGGCTGCAGGAGTTGGCGTCACTCAGATGACTGTTCGGTCTGGGGCCAGGTGCTTCCGGGACCCCTCGGAGCGCAGGCTTGAGCAGGCAGGAGACAGCCTGGACAGGCCAGCTCCCCAGGGGACACAGCAGGTGCTGGTCTGCTGACTCTGTCACAGGAGCCGGCAAGAGTTCCACCCTGGCGCTGAGAACAACCGAGCTGCCTGTGCCTACACTGGGCTCTCCAGCTCTAAAATCAACCTGGCATGTTTTTAATAAGTTCATTTCTGACTTTCTCCAGCACCCCAGTGGTCTTCTGCTGGGGCTGGGGCTGGGGACCAAGCCCACTCTAAGCACACTGGGTGCCCTGTTGGTGTGGTGAGCTCAGCATCAGGTTGCCAGGGTGAATGGACACCCCTCAGAAAACACTTTGGCATAAATCATGGCAGAGGGTCATTAAGAACACAGCCCAGCGGACAGGGTTTGAGTCCTCTGACATGAGGACAGCGGTCCTCAGCTCAGCTTGGAGGACCCTCAGGTGGGTGCCCGCAGTATGTGCCTCAGCACTTCTGGGAGCAGCTCAGCTCAGGGGTTCTGTTTGGTTTCCATGCCCTCTCCCTTGGACCTAAAGCAGGAGCAGAGGCCCCCTGGCTTGTCCACACTGAGGTGCAGGCTCCCATTTGAACACCGGCCCTGGGGAGGCTGCCCATCTTCCTGGCCAGCTGCCCACAGAGAATGCAGAGTCGCCCTGGGCCTGGTTAGATGAACAGGGTCACGCCTGCTCTCCCTGTCAACCTTCTGACAAATAAATGGCCTTAGAGCCTTCACTACACTCATGCCCAGACACCCTGCATGCAGCTCATCACCACAGTTTATAAGCCGAATAAAAGCTGGAGCAAGATTTAAAGAAATAAAAGCACTGACCACAAGCTGGTACCTTTGCAACTGTTCTCAGTCACTATGTCTAATTTCCGCCGCCCCCCACCCCGACCCCCATCTTCAGGGGAAGTCAGGGTGGCTCTCCTTTTGCATATCTTTCTCAAACACTCCAGACACCACCAGCCGGGATGAGGGATGGGGAGCCTCTCCCCCCACAGCCTGCTCACAGAGGTGCCCCAGACCCCGATCTGCTGCGTGTTCCCTTCCCTCCTCACCGGGCAAAGCAATTAACACCAGGCAGGAGCCTCGCCAGCATCAGTCTGCTGCCTCCCCAGCCTGTCCTTTCCCCAGTCACAGCCCCTCCGCTAATTCTTCCAAGGTCCCTTGTCCTGACAATTATTAATTTATCTGCAAACCAGTGCTTATAGTCCAAACTGCCTTCTGAGACTCAGAAATAACTAGGGTCCACTTACAACAAATTTCACTGAAGAAAGGAAAACTTTCAAGGACTTTAAACTGAGAAAGTCCCACCGGCACCTTTCCTGCCTGGGGTCCCTCTTCCCCCCGACCACTCACACTCTGCCTGTCTTTTCTGGCCCATGCTCCGTCGCCTCTAGCAGCCCTCCCGCCCTCTGTCCTCTCCTCCCACCGTAACGAGGTCTCCCTCTTAGCATCCTGCTGGCCTCTTGCTCTCTCCTCTTCTTCTCTGTCCCCTGCCCATCCCGCCCCCACCCCACTTCCTCACCATCCTTGCTACGTGGTAGAGTCCACAGGAGATTATTAAAGGGCTGAGTGAGAACAGCTGCCCACCAGCTGCTCTTTGCCCTGGGGAGGGCCCGTGAGGGACAGCGGTGACTGCAGCCCCAGGCGGCATGGACGGGGTCTGTGGATGTCCAAGTTTATAGCCCTGGGTGGAGGCTGGGCCTCCCACTCTGCTCCCTCATGACCTGGTATCATACAAGTTGCTTTTTTTTTACCATGAAAAGTTAAAATGGAGGTCTTGACTCCATTCATTTTCTTCTGTACATTTTCCTTAAGCCTCTGCCACCTGCTACACATTGGCTAGCAAAGAGGAAAGGGCCTGGGTTCCATGCTGTCTGCTTCCTCAGACTCCTGGTTCTGTCTGCGGACTCCGCTGGGTTCCCGCAGGCTCTCTCTGAGCCTTGCTGCTGAAGCTTGAACCTACTCATCTGATCCACAGACCCCCAGTATGGGGACCCTAGTGTCGGGACGACCCCCTTATTCTCTCCTGGCTCTGTGGCAGCTAAGTGGCCACACACATACCACTCCTGCACCCTCTCTACCAGCCAACCTTCGCTCAGGGTGCGTAGCTGCCACCTGGGAACCAGGCAGCCGCGAGGGGTGTGCTCCCTGCAGAAGCCAAGCTCTCGGATAAACAGAAAGCACTGCTGCTGTAACCTGATGTCTTGTCATCCCTCTTCCTCCTCTCTCCACCCTCAGAGCTCTTCTATCATCACTGAGCGCTCCCAGGCAGCGCACCCCGAATGAGCCCAACTCTGGCGTGTGCAGGCATGGCTAGGGGTGCCTGTGTCCTGAAGCAGGCAGGGTCCCCTGGCATGGAAGGGGCAGCACCCCTGCCAGTCAGCCTGCATGCCACCCTGAAAGGCGGGAGTTAGCGGGGCTGATTCTCAGTGCAGAGGGCAGAGGGGACATCACCTGGCACTTGCCAAAAGCACTGGGATGGTTTCTGAGCAACTGAGCCAAAAGGATGTGTTTCAACCACTCTGGAAATGCAGCTGGTGCTGGAAGGGTGTCTGACAAGCTGGTGCCCACTCTACTCCCTGGGGCCTCCCGGACAGTGCCAAGAGGCCACTGGATGCTCTGGCTGGACTCTGGACCCAGTCAGATGGGCCAGCCTCCAGCCTGAGCCAGAGAGCTCTGCCGAGAGGGAGGCAGGAAGGGTGTTGCTGCTCTGTTCCAAAGCCAAATTTGGCCAAGAGACAGTGGGGTTCATGGAGAGAGCACGGGACCAGAAGTCAGGCGCTCCAGCTCCTAGCCAAGCATTGGGGTGAGCCCCTCTTGCATTTCCTTTTACACCTCTGCAGATTCCCTTGGGCAACACCAGGGGCCTGGCCCAGCCTTCACACCCCAGAGGGCCCCTGCCCTGGGAGCACTGCCCTCACACTGCCCACCAGCCACTCACCATCCGCTTCATCTCCTTGGACACCTGGTTGCCACCCAGGTGGTTGTAGAAGGGGCGCTCAGCTCCCCAGTGTGGAGGGTTGTGCCCAATGGAGTTGGTTCTCTGGCGATTCATCTTGGCAATCATGGCCTTCTCTTCTTTCTGGGAGAGCAACACAGGTGCATCAGCCTTAGGGCAGGGCCCACCAGGTGGGCCCAGTGAGGGAGTTTCTAATTCCTCCCAGGTGCCTGGCAAGGGCAGCAGCTGCCCCTCTTCCTTGCAGAGCCTGGAGCCCAGAGGTCTGCCAAGGCCCTAGAGCTCACCAAGGAAGCATCCTAAATCCCTCCCCACTCCCCAGTGCCAGCCCTGGCTGGCCCAGACTGGAGCAGCAACACAGGATGAAACTGGCCTTGTGAGAAAGCAAAGGGACATGGGGCCATCTGCAGTTCTCACGGGATTCTCACAGGGGCAGAGGCTGGGTCCAAGGTGCCTGGGGGTGACGGAGGGAGAGGAAATCTGGGATTCCAATCTCCACTCCACTTTTCCAAAGTAGGCAACTTCTAGCTGAGCCAGGCCAGAGGATAGGCCCTGTGCCCAAAAGGCAGCTTCTGGAGGTTTGGGGACTAGAAAATGAGACTCAGGGACTGACAAGCATTCTACAGATACACAACCCATGATCTCTGTCTGTCTGTCATCCATCTATCCAAATGGGCTCAAGGTACAGGGCTGGAGAAGCCCTTGGGGACCCGAAGCAGCCTCCTCCTCCACTCCCTCCTTGGGCCTGAGAAGGGAGCCTGTCAGCTCAGGGATGCAGAGGGGAGGGGGCCCAGTCTGCTTCAGCTGCCACTGCTCTGGCTGGTGGGGTATCACTTCTGTCTGTCTCCATTTAATCCTTTCCGGTTCACTTGTCAACCTGAAATAACCACGAACCTGGGAACCCAGGGTGGAGGTGAGCCTGCAGCCCGGGTGGGGTGGAAGCCTTTGAACCTGGCAGGGAGGAGGGCCTGGGAGGATTTCGGTTCATTTACACTCTAGCCAAATAGAAAACACATTTTAAATGTGTCAGTTAAGTCGCTAGGCTCTCTCCCATAGTGTCTAAGTACCCCCACCCCTTCTCCTGGCACCTGTGGAGGGGCCTGATACAGGTCCCTGCAGCCAGGACCATCTCCTGGTGTGCTGCTGTGGCAGGGTGAGGGGCCCTCTGGCGCCCTCTGATGAGGTGCCCAGGGTGGACAACTGCCCCAAAGAGCCCTATCAACCTTTAAAAATTTACTTTTGCTATCATCCGAAACTTCCTCTGAACTTTCCTCACAGCTTAAATTTTATCTTTAGGGTAACTTCTTAGGAAAGAAGCAGAGCAGCTTTTCTTTATCAAAGGGTTCTGACCAATAGATAAACTCAAATGAAACCTTCATAAGTAAAAGGCATTTTAATCTAGGGAGAAATTTGAAATGTTCTCTTCATTCGCTTTAAAAATTAAGAACACGGAACATGACACTATTAAAAATAGAACACTGAAGTCTGCTAATAATTCAGTTTTATATTTGGGCAAGAGTGGGCTGAGACAAAAGGAGAAAAAAGAAAGAGACTAGAACGTGAAAAGGGGAAGAGATAGAGGTTTAAGAAACAAAGATGCACAGGTGCAGGCAGAGACAGACACGTGGCAGGAAGGACAAACGTCTACCCAGTCGGCAGTTGGCAACAGAGCAGGACAGAAATGGAAATGAAATACATGGCAGACAGATTTCTTGATGCTTCATTCCCACGTCATGGCCTTCTGCTGTATTGTTCCTAAACTATCTGATGCCTGTTGCACTTTTGCAACAGAAGCAAGTGACAACATTCCCTCTTTGGTCCCATCGTTTGTGAGGCCTCTGGAACTCTCGTGTCCTCTCTGAGATGCAGGAACCATAACTGCACAGGGAACTAACCACTGGACTCAAGGGTAGCATAAGAGAAGGAAGCAGCAGGCCCAAGACGATCCCTCCCCCGAAACATGAAGCCCTTGGGGCCCAGCGCCAGCTCCCCGACCCGCTTCTGGGTGCAGCTCAGGACGAGGAAGGTCTCGATACTGTGCTCCTTGAGGTAGGCATTGCGCTCGCCCCCGCAGCCTGGCTCCACCTCGTAGTCGCCATTCAGGTAGTTGAGTGTGGCCTTGGTGATGTGGATGCGTCTGCAGGTGGGGAGGGAAGCAGGGAGAGTCGTGCAGAAAACATGAATCTGAACTCCAGCTCCCAGGCAGAACCCAACTGCAGCCAACTCCATCACACCTCAAATCCCAGGGCCCAAACTCTGGCTCAAGGACTAATGTCCCCCTGGGTCCCCACCCCAACATACTGCATCCTGCTGATATCATCAAGATGGCTCAGGTGGGCCCCTGCCCAGCTCATGTGTACCACAGCCACACCATAACATATCATATGTCATTATGATAATAGAATGTTATTAGCCTGCCGGGAGAACACAGCCTCTGGTCTCACAAACTTCGTAAACCTGCTCAGAAGTGAGCAATAGCTCCTGCTATCAGGACTGAGTCCAAACGCCCCAGCATGGCATGAATGTCCTTCTGAACGTAGGCACTGTTTCTCCCACTGGTTCCTAAATGCCCTGTGCTCTACTTTCAGTCCAGGGATTACTGTGCTTCCTTGTACCTGTGCCCGCTGCCTCCAGTCCCTCAGCCTGGCACACTCTCCCTGCTCCACCTCCCTCACCTGCCTGAATCTGGCCCACGGGTCCAGTCCAGCTCACATCGCACCTCCTTATGTCCTGGCTACCTGGGAAATTATCCATGGTTCCTCCCTCCTCAAGAACTCTGCCCTACCTACCAATCTCACAACAAACCACGCGTTTTACGTAAATACCTTCTGGGCAAAGGTTGAAAGGATGCTTCCTATAACTTGCCGTGGTGTGGGGTAAAGGAACTTCTACTTAATGCTGCCCACCCAAGACCACCCAGCCCTGTTCTTCATGACAGTCACCCTGGGTAGGGTTGGGTGGGAGGCTCAGTGTGGGCCCTGCCCTGCCCGAACTCTCACTCACCCTGCCTTGCCTCCAGCCTCCATGTGGTTGGCCAGCGTGACGTCATTGGACCAGACGTCGAATTGCCACTTCCTGAGACCAAGGACACCGCAGTGTACTCGCCCGCTGTGAATTCCCACGCGCATGTTCACGTTCACCCCTGTCACCTCCCGGACCAACCTGGGGATGGAGCAGGGGTAAGGCTGGGAGGGGATCAGGGGCCAGGCACACAGAGTGGGGGCAAGGCTGGAAGGCAGGGATTCGGGGTGCGACAGAAGGTGCAGGGGTCAAAGAGTCATTTCTCTCAGGTGCTGCCCAAATCCAGGCAGACTGTTTAACCCAGTGGGCAGGGGCTGGGGCCTGGTGCTCAGGTGCTGTGTACAGTGAGACGCTTTTTCCCATATTGGCCACAAGGTGGCGCAGCGCCACGCACCAAAGACTGGGCCCCACTGCCTCCCCCAGTTAGGGCATCCCGGGCCATTGCTACCCTCAGTCAATTAAATTGTGTTCCAAAAATGCCAACTTGAGCCAAACAGGGAAGATACAGCCACATAACACTTCGATTTATCCACACTGCTGCCTCTTCATTAATGGGATCATGGAGAAAGGTAGTTAACAGAGTTTTAAGAGAAAACTCCCCTATATCCTGCACAGGAGAGCAGGGGAGCCTGGGCAGGTGCATGGGGCCTAGGTGTCCCTTGTGCTAGAAGACAGCTCCAGTCCCCTCCACATGCACCACGTACCCGGGAGTCCCCACCAGATGGGTGGGCCCTCCATGGAAGGGGGAGTGGGATGGGAGCTATGAAGCCACGTGTCTGGGGCCCAGGGTCTGTGGGTGCCCTGGGGGAAGGGCCACTCAGGCAGCTGTGGGGCCAGCAGTCTGACTTGGTCTGGCGGGCCGGACCCGCAGGTGGATTCTTGCCCTGCTCCCTGCCATACTAGCAAAAGGCTGACAACCCACCACAGGCAAGATTTATGCTGTCCATCATTTTGCTTGTCCTTGGGCTCAACTCTGCAGATTCCTTTACTGGAGCTATGGCTTCCACCCACAATGCCTCTGGCCACTTGCTTAGGTTGATGATATCTCCAGTCTACCTTTCTGGCTTAACTTCAGGGCCACCTCTTTAATGAAGCCTCTCTCGGGACTCCCCACTGGTCCCTCCCTCTGCAGATTGCCACAAGTTCCCAGACTCAGGAACCTGGTGGCATACCCACTCGGCATGCCCGGTATCCCAGCAGAGAGAGTCCCAGCCTCTCTCCCTCAACAGACTCCACGGAAGGGACTCAGTGGTTAGCCCGGGCACACAGGGGCACTCAGCAAACACTGCCAAAAGGAACTGAGCCAAACAGGATGGACCCCACCACCTTCCTGGCCAGCTACTCTGACCTCTGACCTTGCCCACTGTGGCTTTTCCTTTGCCCCTGCCCAAAGCTTGAAATTACCAAACCTGGATGCATTTCCTGATGCACTCCCTGGGTGGTGTGTAAGCTTGGATTGTCCATGTCTTTTCATGACTGGGGCTCCTTCTAAGGCCAGCAGTGACTAAGAATTGGCCAAAGATCCTTTTTGCTGGATTTTCTTAATTGGGAACACTTGCGTTTGCATCGGCCTACCTAGCAGTAATACGCTGGTGAGCTGTTAAACCCTGTGAGTCTAACCTCTCCCATCTGGGAAGAAATGGGGCTGGTAGATTCTAGCCCTGGCTGAGTAGCTGTGGAATGACAGAAGGCCTGGAGTGCAAGGCCTGCACACAGCACAGGGCACAGCATGGTGGCCAGCTTGTCCTCCTCTCCTGGAGAGGTGGGTCCACCTCCTGCTGCTCTGGAGTCTGCAAAGCCCTCCCTTGCTACAGGACCCATATGTCTGGGAAAAGCTTCCCAGGCTGCTGTGGGTAAAAGGAGTCCAGGAGAAAGCTCCCAGCCTGGAGGTACAAACCAACCCTCCAGCATGGCCAGGGGTCCTGGGAGGTGGCTTGGCCTCACCGTTTCCCTGCCTCCCTTGGTTCAACCTGGCAGCCAGCCAGCCAGTTAAGTGGGCCCTGGGACAGTTCCCCTTGCAGACAGGCAGTCCCCCTGGAGTCAGCGTCCCAGTAAGACAGGCAGCCCCCCTGGAGTCGGGCACTTACGAGATGGCCTCAATCATGTCCATGCCCATCTCCACACAGCAGTGGGCGTGGTCGGCCCTTGCTTCCGGCAGCCCTGAGACGCAGTAATAACAATCCCCCAGGATCTTAATACGTAAACAGTGATTCTCCTGGAAAGCAAATTAATTTTACAAATTAAAAATAGTAGGAAAGAGAAGTAGGAGGGGAAGAAACAGAAAGCAAACAGATTCACCCCATGCCTGGAATAACTTGCCTTTTAGGGCAGTGAGCACAGACCCAGTGCCTGCACGACACACGGCCCCAACCCCAGGACAGGCTTATCAGGAGTGGGGGGAGTGTGGCACGGAGGACAGGCTGAGCAGCCCTCAGAGAGGTGTTGCAACCTCCCAGACTCAGGAACTCACTTTTCTGGCCACTGCTGAGGCCCAAGAATGCGATTGGTCAGTGTGGCAGCAAATAGGGCAGACTTGTCAGCAAAAGGAAGGCCCTGAGTTGAGAGTCAGCATCCCATATCCCACTCCCAGCCCCTGGAGCACACGCCGACTCTTGGGTTTGAACAGTTTTCTGACTCTCCTCCTTTTACGGAAGACTGAAGCAGAAATGAGATTTAACCAAAGCTCGCCTGACGCTCAGCCTGAGGTTTTTATCGAAAAGAGTTCTGCTGAACCAGCAAGTATGTGAAGGCAGAGATACCCAGAGAGCTCAGTGCCTGCCTGCTGCTGCTCCCAGGAAAGAATCAAGCAGAGCAGGGTCACCCTGGCAGGCCAAGTCTGATCCCTTATTGGGATTGAGATGGAATGTCATTAATCACCAATCCTGAGCTGTCCGAATCGGCAGAAGTTACTTCATGAAGCTCGGATGATGGGACTCAGTGTCCATGTGGCCTGGACTCATTAAGGCCCAGCCAATGCCCAGAGGCCCAGCATGTACACGCTCACCTCACCCTTTGTTCAGTGATAGAAACATCAGTGAGGCGCGAGCCCTCAGAGGCCCTGGTACCACCTCTGACGGGCACCGGCCTCTCATCAACGATCTGGCTTGCTGTCCTGGGGGCAGGGGGAACATGTCCACATGCTGGTGGACATTGTGGCAAGTGGCCCCTGACCTATGATGACTCCACAAAGCTCAGAGGGTCACGCAAAGCCACAAAAGCAGAGACAGGAAACAGAGTGTAAGCAGGGCCATTTACCACTCCATGCCCTGCAGTGTTGCTTCCAATTTGAACATTGAAGAGACATTTTTTTCAAAGCGTCTGGGGGGTGGCACGCAGCTGTCTGCAGGCCAGGTGGGATTCAGACTCATTCTCTTATCACTTTGGCCAACCTCACCAGGAAAGTGGCCCTATGGCACTTCATTTGTCCCACCAAACAGAAATTCCTTGGGGGCTGGGCAGTGTTACCTGCAGGCCCCACCTTCCCCTTCCACTGATGAAGGGCTCACCAGCTTGCTCCCCCATGATCATGACACCCTGAAAGAATGTCCAGCTGTGTGTGTGACCAGGGCTCATGTGAGGACATGTAGCCATAGCCTGTGGGCCTCTCACCAGCACCCAACAGCAGGCTCTGCCCAGTAGGGCACACGCTGGCACAGTGCCTGTTCCTGGGCTCTGGCCAGTCCTTGGCCACAGCACCCTCCCTCCAGCAGGCAGCCCAGGTCAGGCCAACCATCCCCAGCTCAGGCACATGGGGTGTCTGAGGATAGTGGGCAGGTGACTCACCGCAGCCAGCTTGTCAAAGCGGGCAAAGAGCTCGTTGAGGGTCATGACCAGCTCCTGGGCAGTGCACTGGGATGCCAGGCTAGTGAAGCCCTCGATGTCAGCAAACAGGATGCTGGGGAGACAGGAGGAGGGAGACCCCCATGAGGGAAGAAGGTCAGGGGACATAGCCAGGACCACCTGCAGCTGTGGGAGGGTTGCCTGCCAGCAAGAGTCCTGGGGCACGCCAAACGGCTACTGGAGAGGGGTCAAAGAGAGCCCAAAACTGGACAGCCAAGGACACTGGCCCCTTCAGGCTGGCTGGATGCTGTATCTAGTCCTCCCACACTCTGGCCTCACTCCCACCCAGGAGGAATGGGGGTCAGGGGTGCATGAGGCCTGGGAGGGTGTGTCTGACTGAGGGAGCCACAGATATCGCAGGCCCCCTCCTCAGTCACCTCTCAGCCTGCCCTGTGTGACTCCTGAGCAGCCCCCTCAAAGGCGCTGGGCCTGGATGGGCCTTTGATTCATCGGCTCTGAAGTGTTTCCAGTTTGAACAGTGGCCATACAAAGGTCCCACCTTCTGTCCCCACACCCACTTCCCAACCCCAAGCCCTCCATCCCAAAGGAGTCCTCTAGAAGGGACAGACTAAAGAGGCCCAAGGAGCAGAGAGAGGAAGACGCAGCCAGAAAGCATCGGTGGGAGGTCCCCACCTGTCCTCGTGGCTCGGTCAGCCCCACCCCGGGTGCGCAGCCGGTGCCGCAGCCACACCCTGTGTTGAGAACTGTACATCTTTATGTGTTTCTGTGGCTCATGCTCCTAAGACCTGTCTTCTTTTTCTTTCATAACAGACTACTGGAGGTGAGGCCCCAGGGCCAGCATGAGTAAGGGTCCCTAAAATGGTCCCCAAAATGTAGTAACTCTCATGCACTGAGATGTGCCTGGTGGCCAAGGCACAGGACTGGGAGCTTCCAATATGTCAGCTGACTGGGTCCTCTAGAAGTGAAGGCCTGGTGACCCCACTCACCGATGAGGGCTGGGCCGTAGGGAAGAAGCTCCAAACAGCAGCTTGCAGGCTCTGCCCCCAGGGCCTGTCCTCTTTCCACTGTACTGCAGGCTCCAGAACCGACACCCCCATTTTTTAAATTGAGAATGAATAACTGAACATATTTTGTTATTTTATTTGGAAAACATGTGTTGGTGCATTAAGCATGTCTTTTTATTCTGATGTTTGACATCTGGGGCCTTACTGACCCTTGCAAGCCTGTCTCTCCCAGGCTATCCAGTCCTAGAGACGGTCAAAGCTCACCTTAGAGTCCAGAGCCTCCACCCCCATCAGGCTGCCACACCCAGGCCACTACTCGCCTGTCCTGGTCACCCCAGGTACCAGACAACCTGGACAGCCCATATGCCTCGGAGCCCACTGAAATTATCCACATCAGCCAGTCCTCAGCCTGCTTACCCGGCCTCCCCTGTTCCTTCCCACAGGAACCTCAGTAGAGTTCCTTGCCCATGTTTCCCCCTCACTCTGCCCCCTGATCCACCTCAGTGCTTCCCCGTGTGGCTCCTGTGGAGGGGCGGGCCCTCCTCTTTTGGGAACTGTGACTATCTTTTCAATGTTAATGGTCTCCTGATCTGTTGGCCTCAACATACCTAGATGATAATATAACCTTAGTCTGACACTGTTTTATGTGTATTAACTCATTTAAGCCTCACAACTGCCCTACGAAATTAGTACCCACTTTTACAGGTGAGAAAACCGAAGCACAGAGAGGTCAAGGCACCTGCCCAAGGCCACACAGGCAACCTGGCTCCACAGTCCAGGAGCTGAGCCAATAAATATTATACCATCTCTTGGCCCCACAGCCATCTTAAATTAAGAAAAATCTAATTCAGTGGTCTAATACTGTACATGGGGCAGAGGGAGGCAGAGGGGCATGTGTGGGCTGCCATGGAAGGGCAGGTTCAGGACTCCATCAGGAGGGGCCACACTCAGCAGCTGCCCCCCAGCTCACACGAGGTGGGGTGGAAACAGGCTGCACCACTGGGAAGCACATCTCAGGGCTTGGGCTAGGCTGTGCCACCTCCCAGACAGCCCCCAGGGCAGCCCCCTGCCCCGAGCCCTGGGCTGTTTCCTTGAATCCCAGCTCCGACAGCCACTCTGATCCCAGCCCTGACCAGCAAAGACAACTGCAGGAGGAAAGCCAGAGAGAGTGGTTGGAATGGGGGTGTGGGGGGGGCCTAAGGAGAGACAAGACAGATGAGTGGAAAAGAAAGGGGAGGAGGAGGACTGGAGTGGAGACACACCGCCCCACATCGGGCACAGGACTCAGAGCCCCAGGCGGGCTGCTGCAGAGTGGGCAGCCCTGGGGCAGGGGGCTCAGAAGATGGGAGGGAGTCGGCAGCCTCCATCAAGCTCTGATGCTGGTGTCTGACCCGGCAGACAGGCTCAGCACCCACCCTGGGGGAGTGTAGGGTGGCCAGCATGCTGGGGGGAGAGAAGCAAGAGAGGGAAGCTCCAAAGGCTGAACTAAGTAGTTTCCCTGGGAAATAGGTGCAGAAGCCCGTCCTGGCCCGTGTGCCACTTGCCCGGCCCTCAGTCTCTCAGGCAGCCCCCCACCTTCCCTCAGGAAAAAAGAAAAGGTCTCTGCTGCCTGTGTAAAAGCAATGGTTACTTAGTAGTTCTGGAAATTCTTCCTTAACTCTCAGGAAATCAAAGCCAAGGGAAGCTGGGGTCAAGACCAGCTCCTCCACAGTGAAGGAACACACACATTCAGTGAGGGTCAGTATTTCACATGCAAAGCCGACAGCCTCTTGGGGCCTGCCCAGCGGAAGCCCGGCTTTGGGGGCTGCTGAGACCCTCGTGGTTGGAAGGAAAAATCCCCTGACCTGGCAGAGACGGGACTGCTGCTGAGCAAGGTAACCCGTGGCACCAAGCTGGGGAGAAGAGGGGAGGAGGAATAGACGGGGTGCCCCAGAAACTGGAGGCAGATGCGTGTGGACCAGGGGCTCAGGGACCCAGGTGCGCTTTGCTGACCTCTGAGCCTGCACCCGCAGGAGCTTACCTGCCTTTCGCTGTGCAGGTCTCTGATCTTTCTCCTCCACCAGGGCCCCTACTGGGCCTCAGAGAGCCCTTGCCCCGACTGCAGCTCAGACCTGGTGTCCCGCTACACCTGAGAGCTCTCATATGAAGTCCCAGAGCCCCTCCCGCCCCCAGAGATTCTGAGTTAATTGGCCAAGGTCTCTGCTACTGATTTTGTTATATTTTAAACTTCTCTGATTCTAATGTGCAGCCAGGTTGAGAACCACTGTACTAGTTTAAATGTCACCTTCTCAAGAAAGCTTCTACCCCGACCCCAACCCCATTTAAACTACAACCTTTCCTTGCTGTATTCTTTTACACTGTACTTTTCACCATTTAATGCATTACGTATTCTTGTTGTCCTTTATTATTATGCTCCTGTCTGGAATAGAATAGAATGTAAAGTCCTTGAGGGAGAGAATTTGGTTTATTCATTGACTACTGCCTCCTAGCCCTGAACACAATGTCTGGCACACTGTGTCTGGCCTCAGTAAAATTTGCAATTTGAATGACTGAATGAATGAGGCCAGGTCCCATGTACATTAACATTACCCTCTGCTCTATCTCCTCCCCTTTCCCCATTGCCCCACACGCGTAGCACACTATCGGCACACAGTAGGTGCCCATATTAGTTTGCTAGGGCTGCTGTGACAAAATACTACAGACTGGGTGGCTTAAAACAACAGAAACTTATTCTCTCATGGTCTGGAGGCTAGAAGCATGCCATCAGGGTGTTGGCAGGGCCACGCTCCCTCTGAGACTGAGTAGAATCCTTCCTTGCCTCTTCCTAGCTCCTGACAGTGGCTGTCAATCCTTGGCATCCCTTGGCTTGCAGATGGGTCACGCCTGTCTCCGCCTCTGTCCTCACATGGCATTCTCCTGGGCATGTGCCCTCACGTGGCATTTTCCTCTTTTGTAAGCACACCACTTCATTGAATCACTTCATTGAATTGGGGGCCCACCCTACTCCCGCATGACCTCATCTTAACCTGATTTTATCTGCAAAGACCCTATTTCCAAATAAGGTCCCATTCATGGGTACCAAAGGTTAGGACTTCAACGAATCTTTCAGGGGAATGCAATTCAATCCCAAATAGGGCCTAATATATATTTGTTGAATGGAAGAGAATATTCATAGCTTCAAAGCAACTAAGAGTCAGGACCAGTAACTCCAGGAGCTCTCCCTTAGACCCCACTGGGCCTCCTGGGGTTGTAAGCATGTCATCTGTGACAGGAGATGTCACCTTCTCAAGAAAGCTTCTACTCCCACCCCGGCCCAGGGCCTGGCACCCAGCAGGTGTTCCAGCAACGTTCAAAGGACAAATGGTGGAATGGTTATGGAGGCCGTGGGCAGCTTCCTGAGTCTGGGCCAGGAGTCATCAAAAACAACACTGGTGTGTGAGGGGTCTCTGCATGGCTTAGAAAGCCTGGCCTCCCCTTGGGTCTGCTGGGGATCTAGTATTCCATGGCCTCTCCGGGGGCTTGTAACAGCTACTGAGGAATCTGGGAGGGGCAGGTTGTGGGCCCCCTTCCTTCAGGTGGTGGAACAGAGCAACCAGCGAGCCAGGGTGACTTTCTAAAGAAGGACTTCTAACTGGCATGGAGGCCTAGACGAGGTCTCTGAGGTCCCAAACCTGGATCGCTGCAGTCTCTCCTACACATTTATGGAAATCCCACCACCTGGCATTCCTGCACCTCCTGTCAGAGGCGAAGTCACCCTCCTCTGCTGCCCTGGGGGAGGATTCTGCTTTAGCGGCTGTCACTTCTAGAGCCTCCTCTGTTTTATGAGGTTTACCCCATGGCAGACTGTCTGTTATGCTGGCCAAGATTTCCTGATCTGCTCCGTGGTAATTCTGAAGGCCACTTGACAACCAGTGCTGGACCCAGAAATGCACCCAGGTACTAATCCATCGATTAGCTCCCACTTGAGAGCTGGTGTCAGCCACTCGGTCAGGCCCTCCTGGCAGGCGCACAGAAGCTGGGTGAGGTCCACTCTGGCAGGGTGCTCCTCCCTAATTGCCTGCCATCCATCACTCTAGAGGCAGGAGCAAGC